GCTATAGCCCGGGAGTGCAGTGAAGGATGGCCCGAGTCCTTGGGCCCTGCACCCCATGGGAGACCAGAATAAGTACCTGGCTCCTGCCATCGGATCAGCGCGGTGCGCCAGCTGCAGCAGCCATTGGAGGGTGAACCAATGGCAAAGGAAGACCTTTCTCTCTCTCGCTCTCGCTCTCACTGTCCACTCTGCCTGTCAAAAAAAAAAAAAAAAAAAAAAAAGATTCAGTAGTCGTTACTCAAAGACTTGTTGTGAAGATGGAATGAACTAATCCATGTAAACCAAGTAGAAAGAGATACAGAAAGCACTAAATATCAGTGACCAGCATCATCATCACCAGTACTTCCCTAAGAATGTGATGAGCATCACTAACATAGTATTGCTATTGTTAAGAGTAGCCATGATTAGAAGAGAGGTCTGCCTACTGCCGAAAGCTTGGAGAAAAGTTCCTACATTGTTTTGAACATTTTTCTTTAATATTTTTCTTAAAATTTGTGACTATAAAAAGAATTTAGATAAGATAGATGAAGTTTCAGTGGAATTAACATTCAGAGAGCAATGATCCAATGGGATTTGTTGTTGTCCATAATTTGAGTGACAAGTGAATCTATGCAGAAATTTATAGTCACAGCCTACAGTATTTCCTGTAATTTCTTTGTATCTTGGAAATGAAATTAGTGTGAGGAAATGACAAGAATGTGCAGCAGGTCTGCTGGACTCTTGTTTTGGGAGTCAGGTTCGTCTCTGCACGAGCTGTGCAGCTATTGTGAAGGGTCCCATTGTCTGCCTGTTTACCCACCTCCAATACCCAGTGCCCTGCGCTACAGCCATGTTGGCTGATTTCCACTTGCTGCCCAGGAGGTATCAAGATCAGTGAATGCTAACCCCGGGGATATACTTTTACCAAATTAAGGAGCTGGCAGTGAATAGGTGTCCTAGACTCCCGATTTTTAAGCTAAACATGCACCAGCTCCCTCTGAGCAGGAGGACCAAGGGGCGGGTAAGTAATTGTGCCTTCTCTGTGCGTTCCAAGTTTCTTCAAAAGCTGACTTGGCAATGAGTTTGTGAATTAAGGATTGGAGGAAAAATTTGATTTTAAAAGAATAATTAATAGGTTTACGTAACTGTTTATGTAATTTGCTTATGTAATATGTATAACACCTTGAAAGTAGTGGCATGTGTTTCCAAGTCACTGTGAAAGAATATCAAGATAGCTATCCTGTGAAGGAGGTACAAAAAATTATAGTCCAAATAATGGTCTTAAAGAACTTTATAAGAATAACTAATCTTTATAATGGAAGGAGCTGTGAAATTAAATTTTATTTGTTCCCCTGGATCAATCGTAGCTTTAAGCCTAATAAGCAATAATTCTGTAATTAAGCCACTAGATTTTTTTTGGCTTAAATGTTGTGTTCTTTAAACATTTTCAAAAGTTTTATCCTGGGATTTTTATGATTCCAAGCTGAAGCTGCGTGATACTTGTATGCCTAATTATGCATTAATTATTGCTTGTAATTGCTTTCTACAAGTTAATCAGAAAGCACTGAGAAGTTCCAGAAATTTTTGACTAGCAAGAATGTGCAGGTGTTGTGCTAGGATGGGGTGGGTTGGTGGGGAGAGGAGATGAACATGAACTTGTCCCTACCTTCAGGAACCTTCAAACCTAGCTATACTCCAAGACTGGGTATGATGAGTTTAAACTCATCTTTATAGCTGCTATTAAAATATAATCTTCAGGTACTTAGATATTTCCTTTAAAATAATGAGGAGATATATGTATGATTAAAATATACTAAATTGATTTTTATTTAAAATATACCAAATTACACTTGATCTTAGCCAAAAGGCCGAGAAGCGATAAAAAATATACCAAATTGATTCGTGTGTCTGTGGCTTGATTAGGAAATTAGAGAATTTAGCTTTCTTCCCCTGAGCAGTTGACTTGAGTTAATCTTTTGTTTCCTGCTTACATAGTTGCTAAGGTCAAGTTTCTTTCCTGGTTTTGCTGCTCATACTATTTTGAGGGGGTAAGGGGTGAAGGTCGTGATTGGATTAATCCCTGGCCTACAGAAATGCACTCAACTTCATTGGATCTTGTATCCAAGAATATAATCATAACAAATGCAATTCCCTTGTTTTTTTTTCTGTTGCTCCGTCATTTGTGCCTGGTGCAGTGTAGGTGCCCAATAATGTTTTGTCAGTTAATTGAATGAACAAATGAGTGAATGTATGAATGAATGAATAGCGTATTTCACTAGAAGTATCTGTTATCCTGCTTTATTATATTTACTTGACTGAACTTTATGTTGATAAAAAAAATAGCAAGAGGAAGGGAACTTTCCTACTAAAGTATGTGACTTCTCTATAGTTCTAATTCTTTTATTTTTTTTTATTTTTAACTGTACATTAAAAACTGGAGTCTAGGGCCGTGACTGTGGCATAGAGGGTAAAGCCACAGCCTGTGGTACCAATTTCCCCCATGAGTTCCAGTTCAAGTCCCAGCTGTTCCACTTCCAATCCAGCTCCCTGCTAATGCACCTGGGAAAGCAGCAGAAGATGGCCCAAGTACCTATGTGGAAAAATCGATCAATTAATCAATCAAACAATCTTAAAAAAAAAAAAAAACTGCTGTGGCCTGGGAAGGCAGTGGAGGATGGCCTAAGTGCTTGGGCCCTGGACCCACATGGGAGACCAGGAGGAAGCACCTGGCTCCTGGCTTCAGATTGGTGCAGCGCCGGCCGTGGCAGCCATTTAGGGGGTGAACCAACAGAAAAAGGAAGACCTTTCTCTCTGTCTCTCTCGCACTGTCTAACTCTGCCTGTCAAAAAAAAAAAAAAAAAAAAATTAGCAGCACAGGTGTCAGCCAGGGGTGGCTCCCAGTCCAGCTGTCAGACATTATCTCGGGGAACCTTGGGCATACTTTCTTTTTATTATTATTATTTTTTTTTTGACAGGCAGAGTGGACAGTGAGAGACAGAGAGAAAGGTCTTCCTTTGCCATTGGTTCACCCTCCAATGGCTGCTGCGGCTGGCGCACCACGCTGATCTGAAGCCAGGAGCCAGGTGCTTCTCCTGGTCTCCCACGAGGTGCAGGGCCCAAGGACTTGGGCCATCCTTCACTGCACTCCCGGGCCTCAGCAGAGAGCTGGCCTGGAAGAGGGGCAACCGGGACAGAATCTGGCGCCCCAACCGGGACTAGAACCCGGTGTGCCGGCGCCACAGGCAGAGGATTAGCCTATTGAGCTGTGGCGCCCACCGGGCATACTTTCTCGAAACCTAGTTTTCCAAATTGCATCATTTGAATACTGTAAATTACAAGCTGAAATACCGTTCTATGCACACTAGTTGTTTAAGTAATAAATCCTTTAAAAAGTCCATAGAAAATGATTATTATGAAAAAACTATTCATGGACTTCAAAATTTTTCACATCAAAACAAACATCTCTTTTTTGAAAGATTGATTTATTCAAAAGAGTTACAGAGAGAAAGACACAGAAAGACATCTTCCATCCACTGGTTCACTCCCCAGATGGCCTCAAAGACCAGGGCTGAGTCAGTCTGAAGCCAGGAGCCAGGAGCTTCATCTGGGTCTTTCACATGGGTGGCAGGGGCCCAGACACTTGGGCCATCTTCTGCTGCTTTTCCCAGACCCTTAACACGAAACCGAGAGAGATAGAATCTCCCAACTACTGGTTCACTCCCTAAATGGGTGCAATGACCAGGGTTGGTCCAGGTTGAAGCCAGGAACCTGGCATTGCATCCAGGTCTCCCACATGGGTGACGGGGGTCCAAGAGCTTGTGACATTTTCGTAGCCTTCCCAGGCACATCAGCAGGGAGCTGCATGGGAAGTGGAGTATCTAGGACTCAAACTGGCACTCCAGTATGGGATGGCAGCATTCACAGGTGGTGCCACAATGCCACCCCCTCCCACACACAAAGAAAAACAAACATTTTTTGATCAGAAAACTATTAAGAAATAAAATTTTTAAATTGTGCCTATAAACCTACTACCTTTGTTTAGTCCCATTAACATTCTGGAATAAATTGTAATTATAGGTATAATATCATCATACTATACAGATTTTTTAGCTTAATTTTTTAAAGACAAATCATATTGCCATTTTGATATTTTCTTAATAGTCTATACTATTTTTATATGTATTAGATATATTTTACTCAAATAATGCTTCAATAAACATGTATTTTTTTAGTATCATTGCATGCTTATCTGCTTCTTTCCTGAGACATCTAGCTATGGGCTTTCTGGATCAATGAGGCATGCACTCCTTTCTCCAAAGATATTTGCAAAATTTCGCCTTAAAAAGATCATACCCAGTTTTTACTCCTTTCTCCCAACCTTGATCCATTCTTAAATCTGGTAGTTAAAAAACATCATTCTTTTGATTTTTATTTCTTTGAGTACTTTTGAGGTTGAACATCTTTTCAAATTTTCTACGTTAGTTGCCTGTTCATGTACTTTGTGTGTTGAAATATTGGAATATTATATCACTAATCAAGAAATACTCTTTAGTCTTTGTAAAGGACACCTGTTCATTATATTTGATTAATTATTTTCTTTGTGTGCTTTAATAAGAAACTCTTAAGGACTAAAGGGTATTAATGCTGTGGACTATTTGAAATAGCCTTCTCTTTGTTGCCATTCTCTTTTGGACAGGTGAGAAAATTGCTATGTAAGGCTACAGTAGATGCACCATTCTTAGAGATGTAAAAATTTCAGACGTACTCTCTATTTGTGTGTGTCTCTCAAAAAGTTTGTGACTCTCTGAGTTAAAACTAGCATTGCAGCAGCAATTCAGCAGCAAAACCAGAAGAGGGGAAAACAGGCCCCTGCTCTGACGGATCTTCCTGACTGCTGGTGCTGCCTTTGGTCTGCTGAGGAACTTATCATTTCTATCACGGTCTGTATGCTCCCACTGCCATGACCTTCCACGTGAGAAATGAGCTGTCTTACGCTGGGCTGTGTTTCCTTCTACTTTCAGAGTATCCACATCCTGGAAAGAACTGCTTCCTCAAGCACCGAGCCCTCTGTAAGCCGGCAGCTGCTAGAACCAGAGCCAGTGCCCCTCTCCAAGGTCAGTGATGGGACGTGGTGGCTCTCTCCGATGCCCTGATGCCTGATCTGGCCCGATTGAACTGTCCCTACCTTTTACATTAGACGGCCATAAGGTAGCTCTGACACCAATCATAGGGCATTTCTTCCACTTCTTTCTCCCTTGAGTACAAACAGTTTCTCTGCCCTGTGTTAAAAGATAATAGATGAAAGTGTATTTTGCGGGGGCCGGCGCTGTGGTACAGCAGGTTAACGCCCTGGTCTGAAGCACCAGCATCCCATATGGGCGCCGGTTAGAGACCCAGCTGCTCTACTTCCGATCCAGCTCTCTGCTATGGCCTGGGAAAGCAGTAAAAGATGGCCCAAGTCCTTGGGCCCCTGCACCTGCGTGGGAGACCTGGAGGAAGCTCCTGGCTCCTGGCTCCTGGCTTCAGATGGCGCAGCTCCAGCCGTTGCAGCCAATTGGGGAGTGAACCAGTGAATGGAAGGTGTGTCTCTCTCTCTTTCTCTCTCTCTCTCTTTTTCCTCTCTCTGTCTTTCTTCTCTCTGTAACTCTGACTTTCAAATAAATAAATCAATCTTTAAAAAGAAAGAAAGAAAGTGTATTTTGCTGGGATTTGCAGGGTTACACACAAAGGTGTCAAATTCTCTTTATTTTAAAGTATGAAGGAAGGAAAAGCAATTGCCATTCCCGTTTGGAGAGATAAGCAAGTATTTCTATGTCAAGCTAATGGAAAAACAGTCACTGAATCCAGCAGTGATAATTAGTAATAACAGCTACCATTACTGCGCACATACTGCATACCAGGTACGATGTTAAGTGCTGAAAAACATAACCCAGTTTAGTGTCATTATGAACAACTCCATGAAATGTAGGTATTTATTACATTTTATAAATGTGGAAACAGAGTTAGTAGCTCTCCCAAAGTTTTTAAAAAGCAAAGCAGAAATTCAAACTTAGATAGGTCCCACCCCACAGCCCGTGCTTTTTGGCTCTTGCAGAGAGGGATGTTACACATTCCAAGTTCTAGTCCTTCTCTCTTCTGGCCTTCCTAGCAAGAGCTCTGCATGGAGCATTGAAGGTTAATTACTAAGACCTTTTGTGTTTTGTGGAAGCCACATTCCCTACCCTTCAGTGCACCCTTCCTCAGACGGGGGAAACATTTAAATTCATGTTGTCTCACATGCACAAATCCCGAAGAGTTGAAAGATGCCACCCTTCCCCTTCCCTGGCACTTTCACAGGGCTGGCTCCTTTATCAAAAAGCTCTAAAAGTAGAACGCATGCTGATTTTGAATTCAAGCAGAAAAACAGCACTTCACTTCCATTCCAAAGATGATTCACTTTGAAATGTGTGTAATCATTCCTTCCATTCTGATTTCCCTATATTAAGCATAATCCTTTAAAAAAGGACACTTTACTACCCAAGTATTATGAAATGTAGACACTTCCACGTAGTGTACTATGAAGATATTATAAGCAGTGAGATTTATTCTAGCAGACAGAAATAGACTACTAACCTGAAGGAAAATGGGAGTTATTAAAGTATAAAAATAATTCATAGATAAATAAAAAGCAGTCTGATTTCCATGTGAATAGCAAACAGAGAACGTGTACTTGGTAAATATAAGTGGAAATCTCTTTGGAACATCAGTTCTCTCCTATACTTAGCAAAAAAGAAAGAATAAATAAATGTAGGCAGTGGATAAGGCAGCCAACATGTATTCAGTACTTGCTTTGTGCCAGCCACACGATTAGAAGATGTATTTTCTCACAAAGCCGTCAGCTCCTTGGACTGGGTAATAATATTATTCTCATTTTTAACATTTTATTTATTTATTTATTTATTTATTTGAAAGTCAGAGTAGGAGAAAGGAGAGAGAGAATTGGTCCACTCCCCAAAGGGCTGCAATGGCTGGGACTGGGCCAGGCTGAAGCCAGGAGCCAGGAGCCAGGAGTCAGGAGCTTCTTCCTGGTCTCCCACGTGGGTCTAGTGTCCCAAGTACTTGGGCCATCTTCCACTGCTTTCCCAGGCTTATTAGCAGGGAGCCAGAACAGAAGCAGAGCAGCTGAGTCTCAAACTGGCACCCATATGGGAGGCAGGCAGCTGCTTAACCACAGCGCTGGCCTCTGTTCTTGTTTTAATGATAACTACAGCATAATTTCCCAGATAGAAAGACACAAGCTTGGTCAAGAAGCAGTTCCCCATAGAAAGAAGTTCCTGGTAACTGAGCTCACAGCAGCTGGGGTTGGGTCCACTGGCCTGATAAATGGATCTTGTTGGAGCACCAGCAGCATCCAACATCTCCATGTTGTTGCCCATTTGGATCTTGCTGTAAGATTAATAGACCCTTGAGGTTTTGTTGTTGTTTTGTATTAGTAGATATTCAATCCAGCACCATAGCATCTCACCAATTCTTAGATCCTTTAAGATGGACATCCTGAGTAGTAGAAGAACTTTTTTATATATATTTTATTTGAAAGGCAGAGTTACAGAGAGAGGGAGAGAGGGAGAGGGAGAGAGAAGTCTTCCATCTGCTGGTTCACTCCCCAAATGGCTGCAACAGCCAGGGCAGGCCATGCTGAAGCCAGCAGCCAGAAGCTTCATCTAGGTCTCCCTCCTGGGTGTAGGGGCCCAAGCACTTGGGCCATCCTGCTCTGTTTTCTAGACCATCAGCAGAGAGCTGAATTGGAAGTGGAGCAGCCAGGACATGTGGGATTCTGGTGCTGCAGTTGAAAGCTTAACGCCACAGCACTGGCCCTAGTGGAAGAATTTGCCTTGAAATACTCACTGTCCTGGCCCAGAATTTCTGCAAATTCTCTGTTCTATGCTTTCACCTCGTGCAGCATTTTTATGTGCACCCTCATTGTCACTACACACACACACACACACACACAACACATGCAAATGAACACATACAGTATACCCCAGAGAAAGGAAATGTCTGGCTTCTTTTTTTTTTTTTCAGCTGAAGAGACTAGGCCTGTTATTTTATTATGTTCTGTTTTTGTTTGCTGTTATTAGGTTAAAAGTATTTGTAAAGCTTGAATAACATCAAACATGTTTGTGTATGCGACTCCAGTCAAGCACTGACATGATCACATTAGGGCTTTGGCTCTGTCCCTGTAACTTGTAAACCTATGAAAATTGGAGATTGTGGAACAGAAAATAAATATCAATGGAAATTTCAAAAATAAACTTTTAATTTCCAAAGAGCTTAATTTTCTTAAAATAGACCTATTAAGCATAGGAGGGAGAATTTCAACAATGGAAAATCAAACTTAGAAGATTGTTTTGTACTGAAATGGGTCATTTCATTTCTTACACACCTTTTGGTAACATTATCATCAGTGTTTATAATTAAATTAGGGAGAACCTTGTTTGCTTCTTTGTTCCTTTGACAGCTTATTTCATTGTAAGAACTTCATTAGGATTCATCTCCATTTCTTTTGCTAGGATTCATTATATTGCATCAAAGCAAAGGGAGCCATGTGTTCAGTGCTGCTGTGTTTTAATTGGGCATGCCAATTAAAATGCCAGTTCAGGTACCCATGTCCCATATCAGAGAACCCGGGTTTGATTCTTTTTTTTTAATTTATTTTTTATTTATCTGAAAGACAGAGAGACAGAGACAGAGATCTTTCCTCTGGTTCACTCCCCCAGATCCCTGCAACAGTCAGGGCTGGGCCAGGCTGAAGCTAGGAACTCAATCAAAGTCTCCCACATGAGGGACAGGAATCCAGCTACTTGGGCTGTTACCCATTGCCTCCCAGGGTGTACATTAGCAGGAAGTTGAACACAGAAGTGGACCCAGGACTTGAACCCAGACAGCCTGATATGGAGTACAGGGGTCCCAAGCTCCATCTTAAGTGCAGTACCAAATACCAACCTCTGAAATGAATCTTTCATAACTGGGTTTGATTCTTGATTCTGGCTCCTGACTCCAGTTTCTTGCTGATGTGATCCTGGGAGACAGTGGTGATGGCTCAAGTGGTGGGGTTCCTGCTGTCCATGTGGGAGACATGGATTGAGTTCCTTGGCCCCTGGCTTGACATTTGGGGAGTGAACCAGCAGATGGGAGTTCTCTGTATCTTTGTGTGTGTCCCTCTGCCTCTCAAATGATTAAAGAAATAAATAAACAATATGAACTTCAAACATAAGAGAAGAAATACATTTTTAAGTTTCGGATTTTTCTGTTTTATGACCTCCATTTTTCCCTTTACAATTAAATTAAACTCCAAAGAAGAGATGAACAGCTGTGATAGAAGTCAGTAGCCAGAGCTCCACAGGGACAAGCTATTATCAGAGTTTAAGTAGAAGAATATTGGAAAAGCATTTGTATTTATTATTCCATGATTCCATTTTCACAAGTTATAGAGAGTATTTTTCATCACACATTCAGAAGGAGAGAGAGAATCTAAATCTGAGTTAAAACCCTAGCCTTTGAACAAGATCTGTCCATAAATAAGGATGTTACTCTTCTGTAGTTACTATCCATGAATGGGAACCCTCTAAATAGAAATGTCATAAATACAGCTGGTATCTCTCTGAGAGCTCTAATGAATGTATCTGTACATACATAGATAGCTATTCTTTTTTTTAAACAATTTATTTATTTGAGAGGTAGAGTTACAGACAGTGAGAGGAAGAGACAGAGAGAAAGATCTTCCTTCTGTTGGTTCACTCCCCAAATGACCACAACAGCTGGAGCTACGCTGATCTGAAGCCAGGAGCCAGGTGCTTCTTCCTGGTCTCCCATGCAGGTGCAGGGGCCCAAGGACTTGGGCCGTCCTTCACTGCCTTCCCAGGCCACAGCAGAGTGCTGGATTGGAAGAGGAGCAGCCGGGACTAGAACCAGAACCCACAGGGGATGCTGGCACCACAGGCGGAAGATTAACCTACCACGCCATGGTGCTGGCCCCGAGAGCTCTTCTTCTAACTTCTCAAGAATACTGAACTTTTAAAAACAAATAAGCAAAATCCATCTTTTAAGAAAACTTATATGTATTTATTGGAGAGAGAGAATGATGGAGAGAGAGAGATCCCATCCACTGGTCCACTCTGTAATTCTACTATTTAATTGAAGAGAATGATTATCTGCTTTTCTGGTGAGAGTAAAAGGCCAAAGATACTAGAACTTTTATAATGATTTATAGTTTGCTCCTGTAATTCTATCATTATTCATAAGCAGGACTCACTTGCTCAATTTTAATTCAGTATTAAAGAGTTAGGATGGTGCTCGCTTCGGCAGCACATATACTAAAAAAAAAAAAAAAAAAATAGGAGTTAGGATGCCACCGCCCTCCAGTTCTATACCACCTCCACTCATATTGCCTGAAAAACATGCACACCATACAGCCTGAAATTGTCTCATCAGAAACATTTTTGAAAATCACTCTGTTTCACAGTTTTGACCAGATCAATCACAGTTTCTGATAGGATTATCTTCAAGTAGAAAAGCATTTCTTGGGGCCGGCACTGTGGCGCAGTAGGTTAACACCCTGGCCTGAGGCGCCGGCATCCCATATGGGCACTGATTTGGGACCTGGCTGCTCCACTTCCCATCCAGCTGTCTACTGTGGCCTGAAAGGGCAGTGGAAGATGGTCCAGGTCCTTGGGCTCCTGTACCCATGTGGGAGACCAGGAAGAAGCACCTGGCTCCTGACTTCGGATCGGCACAGCTCCGGCCATTGCGGCCAACTGGGAAGTGAGCCATCGGATGGAAGACCTCTCTCTCTCTCTCTCTGCTTCTGCCTCTGCCTCTGCCTTCTCTCTGTGTAACTCTGACTTTCAAATAAATAAATAAATCTTTAAAAAAAAAAAGAAAAAGCATTTCTTGGGTAGTTACAGATTCTTTAAAGGGTTCTTAGTATCACCATATGAATGACCAGTTGGTGTATTTCCATAGAGTATATAATTCCTTGGGGATTACTAAGAAGGTGAAGACAGGACAGTGGTCTCAGGTTGTTTTTCCCAGGGCTGGGGGGGGTTGTAGCTAGGTTCATCTTAGGGAGGATGGACACTTGATGCCAGGTGTAGAAGGCTTTTCAGAGGCAGGGGCACCTCCAAGCCTTAAGAATGTTAGAATGAAGCCATGTTTGGGCACATCTTCTGGAAACACAAGTCAGTGTGAAAATCCCATCCCCTGTATTGTGTATTTGGATTTAACATCAATTTGACTTGCCATAGGGTAAGCAGCTGCTGAGATGACCTAGAAGAAAATGGAAAAGAGAATGGGTAGCAAATATTCCACCCACTCCTTTCCTGTAACAGATTATGGCACCTCTTCCTCTGAGCCTTGGAAGCGCCTGTCAGGCTGTCAGCAGGGTTTGGGCACCCACCACCTGGCTACTTGGAACAGCAGATTTGTCTGTCCTGAGGGCATTTCCATTGGCCACTCCTGTCGAGGGAGGCCTTGGTTCTGTGATGTAAGGAGGGTTCTGATGGAACATATCTTTTCAGAAGGCAACCACATGAATCCGTTTGGGATGGGGCATTGCACAGAGCCTGCCTGGTCCATGAACAGTGTGTGTAGCTTTCTGAAGCTGAGGTCCAGGGCAGGGGGCAACACCTCCCTTCATTGTGAGCAGGAGTGTAGCAGCTGTGCATGGGCTGTGAGAAGTCTTTGTTGTTCCAGGGTCTGGAGCCACTGCCTCTGCTTCATTGTTAGAAGGCCAGAGTACCATCTCAGCCCTGGGTGTCATGCCTCAGATCTAGAACTTGGGTTGGAGGGATTGTCTGAGGTCAGCTCTGTAGGCCCTTGGAACTGCCCTGGGCCTGGGATTTTACAGCCTAGGATGTTGCTATGGGCCAGGCAGGCAAAGAAGCCCGGTGAGGACTGTGGCAAACTGAAAACGGGCTTCCTTCACTTGCGGCCCAGTAACACCAGATCTTATGAATTTTCAGCAAATCGGGATTTTCAAGGTCTGAAATCTGATTTATAAATGTTGATGGCTTGTTTTTTAAAATATCAACCCCCTAGATGAATAAAACATGCCTGATGAAAGAGGAAACCATGATTTGAGCAATACTTACCAGACAAGAGTAATAGTGTGAACCCTAGAACCCAGCTCTTTGGCATTGTAGTCGGCTGCTGTTTCCACAGGCTCCCAAGACTTTGTGCATCTCTGAAAGCGTGGACCTGGGTGTGTACCTTTGCTGAGAGCATGCAGTATTTTATGCACACTTTGAGATGTGCACAGCCTCCCCAGGAGGAAGCAGGACCACAGCGCTCTTCTATGTTAAGAGCAGGTTACGATCCATTTTAGCCCACTGCAGCCATTCCATTTCTGCACAGAAAGCTAGGTCCACACGCTAATTGAACATCTGTCATCAAAACAATATTCTTTGGAAACTTTAAAATACCTCTGTGCCCAGAGATGAACTGTCTGGAAATGTGCATTTTCAACATTCTGAGTACAGGCAATCGAAATTCCATTCCACTCCAACAGGCAGGTTGGCTCCAGGGAGTCTCTGGTGGAGCCGCATCCCTCCGGGACTACCTGGGGACCTCGCGTCCCAGTGAGAAGTGTGGCTGTGCTCGCTGTGAGAATCTACTCTGGAATGTTGTTCAGACTTCTGGCAGGTCAAGTGTTGCTTCAGAAGCAACTTCTGCAGAATCCACTTTAAGTGTGTCATCAAACACAGAAAGTATGTGATTTGTTTTTCTTTTTCTCTCAGGAAGCTGACAGCTGGGAAATTATAGAAGGGCTGAAAATAGGCCAAACCAATGTCCAGAAACCAGACAAACATGAAGGCTTTATGCTGAAGAAAAGAAAATGGCCTTTAAAAGGCTGGCACAAGGTAACAGTTTTATCAGATTCAGGTTGATTGTCTTCATAATATGATATGATACATTGTTATTAGGAGGGACATTAAAAGTATGGGTGTATGTGGGAAAAATAAATTTCAAGGCTTTATCTTAACCATATAGGTTGTCATCTATTATGCCAACTTGAGTCTGAGATCTGTAGTATATGTATGCAATGCAAGGAAAAAATATTTTACATATTTAAAATGTGATTTGTACAAATATATAATAATCTGCTTGTTTCACTTAAGTTAATATGAATGTTTTCATTAAATTCTAAATATGAGATATTTTAAGTGTGTGCATATATTTCATCTGATAGACTTATATATCCCACTATTATTGAGTTAATTCCCTATTGCTAGATCTAGTGGACTTGTCTAATTCTTTCCTCTCTTTATTCTGTGATGAACATCCTTCTACATTTATTCCTGTTTGGTTCCTTAAAGTTCTTATTACCATTGCAGACTAAAATTGGAAAACTGCTAATCCTAGAAGTTTATTTACTGCCCCCAGAAGTGTGTATAATTTAATTCCTCTCTCCCCAACTAGCATCCTTTTTCCATCTCCTAGTTTTGACTATGGAGAAAGTATTTTTATAACATTATTATGATTGTTTGAGTAGCAGGAATTCTAATGCTAAGAAGAAAGTTGCATTCCATTTTCAGGATAGACAACCTAGTGATACACCACGTGGTGATGGACTTATGAGTATCTTCTCTGAAAACACTGGAAGAAAAGTTTATCTACTCGGCCCCTTTGCTGATGGATTTCATCCCATGACAATTATTGGCTTGAGGTGGCTTCCTGTTGGCTTAAAACAATGAGACTATGTATTGTAACTTCCTTGAGGAAACATTTTAAATACTCTAAGTGCAAGACTTAAAAATGAGCAGATGGCAAATGCTGTACCCGATCTTCTGTACAGTGTGCCCTCTCCCTGGTCAGAAACTCTCTCCATGGAACCCATAGTGTTGTCCCAGTGTGAAGGCTCTCTCACCACCATTGTTCTTCCTTGAATTCTGGCCCACTGGTGAGCTTCCTAGGATCACCTTTGCCTTAGATTCTGGACCCTACTACTTTGCATTGTCTCAAATCAGTGGTCTTGCAAATCTGTTTCCTGTGACATCCTACAGGTTATTCCTGCTGAACTTCATTGGTAGGTAGAAAAATAGCAAAAAGTAGTTAGTTAAAGAAAAAATGTTTATATGAATCACTAACTTTAACCATTCAAGCCATTCTTTAAGTGCCATTCAAGCCTTTTGATTGCCTAAGTCATGGGCAATTGAGTAAACATGTTTTTCCCACGGTAGAGCCTCTTTCTTCTTGTACTTCACTTCTTGTCCCTCAGAACCCAGAACAAAGGGATCCCAGTGGCCTTCTGTGAGTTCAGTGCAGGATGTCCCCAGAACAGTTAAGGTTCCTTATAAAAAGCTTTCCAGCAGAGTTAATTTTCCAGCAACAGAAGTACTCCTTGCATCCGTAGAACTAGCGGAAGACAGGAGGCCCCTTGTGTGACTGGATCCTGGGAATGACTCTTCTCTTAGGAATTGCCATGGAAGGGAAATCCATTCAGGCTGCACCTGGAGCATCTTGGGAGAGACAAAAATTGCCAAAAAACTATAATGTCATTGAGAAATAATTTGTAATCTCTTTGACTAATGATGGGAAGCAAGCATTTCGCTAAGTGAAAAGTGAAAATGCACTGTTAAGGCCACTAAACTTTCCAGATAATCACTATTTACAGATTCGGTCCATCGACTTCTTAATGGACAGGAACATTTTCCAGAATTATCCATGATATCTGAGTGAAATTCATGAGTTTAACCTCAGGGTGGACTCATGTAGAGTTCCTCAGTCATTGTGAATCCAGGTTATTCCTCATTTCTCACTCTGAAAAAATGCCCGTGTGGTTTATTCCAAAGATCTTAGTTGCAGGCCCTGAAATTCCTTCCTTGCTAAGAAAAATCATGATGAAAAGCCCCCCTCCTCTTTGAATTATGTGTAAAATAACAACAACAACAACCCTGGTAGGTTATTAGTCATGGAGCTAGAGCTCTGATCTCCTTTAGTGCACTGAGGCCATACATAGACATATTGGATAACTAAATGCCATGAAACTTTAAGCCTACACATGTGAATGTTTTATGTAATTCAAAATGCAGACAGTAACTAGGGGTGTTTGATTCTTGCAGCGGTTTTTTGTCCTGGATAATGGAATGTTAAAGTATTCAAAGGCACCACTTGATGTAAGTAGCTCCCAGGACATGTTTGAAAGATTGATTTAGCATTCTGCTTGAAGTGAGTAAACACTGTCATTGGTCAAGCCTTGTGCCATGGTAACCACCTCTGTGCATGTTTGTGCCTGTAATGCTTAACAAGCTACCAAATCTCCACGTCCCAGAGAGGTGGGATGTATGTTTATGCTCCCAAACAATTGCATGAAGTCTTCGTCTTCCAGTTCTGACATGTGTTATTAAAAAACAAAGCTTAAACCTAAAAGTAACACATTACTAAATGCCCTTTCTTTTTCTTTCTCTTTTTTTTTTTTTTGCTTCAGCTCTCAATAAACTCTGCTTTATGTACTTTTTTTGAGATTTAAAGCAATCTTTGTTCTTCTCAATGTCCTTTCAAAAACTGTCTTTGAGCTTCATTTTATTTCATATATCCTTTTGTCTTGGGAACCCCAAGTAATTAAAATAATTCCAAATTATTTTTAATATACCAAGTAGTTGATTGCATGCAAAACTGGAAAATGCCTTCTTTTTTATCATTGTTGTATAGGGGAAATAACATATTTCAGTGTTGTCCCCGTCTCTGCCATCGGTGTCCTTGACACAAGGTGGCAGCCAGAAGGAATTGGCTGCTCCATGCTCTCTGGTCCCAGCTGCCCAATGCCCTAGCAGCTGTCTTCCAGCTGATTATTCAGGGGTGTTATTTGCTGCAGGTCAGAAAGTGACCACAGTTATTTTAGGAACCACTAAGATGTCTTGGAGGGTGGCGTATATGAACTGTGCAGTCTAGAATTACGAAGAACTCTTCATGCCAAGAGAGGAATAAGATGGATAGTTTCACTTATTGGAGATGTGAAGTCCCTGCAGCTTCACCTGTCCTCAGTTAAAGAACCTTAACCTCAAAGCCTCACTCATTTTCTGTTTATTAAAGATACAAGCTAAAAATTATCTGAAATTCACTTCAGTTCAGTACAGAAATACACCAAGTCGTATATCCTTTGAGCCTACTTACTGATCTTTGCATTTCAGATTCAAAAAGGGAAGGTGCACGGGAGCATAGATGTCGGACTCTCGGTCATGTCAATCAAAAAGAAAGCTCGGAGAATAGACCTGGACACAGAGGAGCACATCTATCATTTGAAGGTGAACTCACTTTGCAGCACTCTCTATGCCATTATCGGGGAAAGTCATTTGCCTACACTAGTGGAGATAGGTTTCACAGTTACATTCTCCTCTTGCTCATTGTTTTAGGTGAAATCCCAGGACTGGTTTGATGCCTGGGTTTCCAAACTGCGCCACCATCGGTTGTATCGGCAGAATGAGATTGTGCGGTCACCAAGAGATGCGGGTTTTCACATATTTCCATCAACCTCCACAGCTGAGTCTTCCCCAGCTGCGAACGTTTCAGTTGTGGATGGGAAGGTATGACTGTGTTCTGGAACCAGCCTGGAAATTGCTTAGAAAATCATGCCAACACACAACTGGCTCACACTGGCAAGAAATGGAAAGAGGAGGTTTGCATTGTGAACCAGCACTCAGAAGACAACAGGTCACCTTGGCATCAAAGCTAATCACAAATAGAGATCAGTCAGAAATATGGACCACCAAGAGCATGAGCAGTTGTTTTTCCTTTCTAACAAATGGACTGCATCCAAATTTATGTGGCTTTGTAGCAATATTAGGAAGTAATTATTTGTTTAATTAGCACCCAGAAATCAAGTGATAATAAGAAAACTTCCAAAATATTTGAAGTGAAACTCACATTCTTGCCTTGAGCTGTACTGTGTGCAGGCCCTAGAGAAATGCCCATGAAATCAATGTAACTGAGCTTCAGAATGTGACAGTAAGGCAAGCAGTAGCCTACTTGAGGGCCCAGACACTGTGCTATGCTAAGCATGGCGATCGATTCATTCCTCTCTAATCTTTCATAGAGCCAAACTTCGGAGGCAGCAACGAATTTGTCTAGAAGTGACAGAACAATTCCAAGATCTGAACCCATATGTCTGTATCCAAAATCAGTGTCGGACTAAGGGGGCCTGGTGTTGGTTGGTTCCTACATTGATGAAAAGCTAGAGGCGTTGCCAGTTTAAAAATCGAGGTTAAGACAACAGACAGGGAGGCAGCTGTTTCTCTCTTTGGTTCGGTCATTAAGTTTCCTGAAATATAGCCACATGGCCTTGCCCAGGGGCACTCCGGCTTCCACCTTGGCACCTGGGCCAGCTGTCAGAAGCTGCTGTCACACGAGTCAAGTTCAAGAACATTCCAGAGAATTCTCTGCTGTTCTGTTTGTTTATACAGAATGTCGATCCTGGTTTTCTTTGCAAAGCATTGAAAACTCTCCTAGGGTCACAAAAAAGACTAACCAAATAAGATTAAAGGAAGCATTACTATATTGTTTTTGTTATTTTTGTAGAAATTACTTAAGCACTTTTTATTAAGTCTCACAAGGCTCTCAAACCTTACATTGTTTCATTCTGGTTGCAGCCATGCCAACGACTACTCAGTTATTTTTCTCCTGGGAATAGTGTTGGGTTCACCCTAATGCCAGCTGGTTCTGAAAGAAAAGGGAACAAGCCAGGGGGTCAGGGACTTAGGACGACTGGGAGCTTACAGATGTTCAGGATGCTCCCAGCTTTCGCTGGGCCTCTCACCACATGGTGAGTTAGTCCAAATAAATGAGAAATGTATCTCATGTGGGTTCTTCAAAATATTAGCTTTTAATTCTTTGGTTCTTTCAGCTTCTGTTGGCACAGACTATCAATTTAAAAAAAAAAAAAAAAAAAAAAACTCCATCCCTTGTGTTATTTATTAAATAACTCGGGGACATCCGAGAAGGGAGAGCTGAAACCAAATCCTCCCCACTGTTTGCTTTGGAATAAGAAAGCCCTTCACCTCCGGTTTTCACAAAGGAGCTATGGGTCCCGTTACAAATGACCTATCTCCATGATCTAACTCACTGAAACATTTCCATTATGTTTATCAAAAGGCGATAAAGAATGAAAAGAGCCTTTTATGACTTTGCTTGCATTCTAAATAGCGGTTATGAGACTCTTGGATGTTAATTGGTCTGTGACCCTGTGTGGGTAATAAATAAGTCTCGGTTTGCTAAGTGTGTGCACCATTCACTTCATAACGACTTAGAAGAGACAGTTGTCGTTGAAAACTAAAGTCCAATATGGGATTTTAAAGTTGCTTCAGCTTCTTGGGGAAAAGTGTCTCTTTTCGCTGAAATGTTTACTACACTCAGCTTAGCAGCCATGTACTTCATACAAGTATTTCATTTCACATAAAATCCCATTAATGGAACAAAGCCTGATATAAATAATGTCTTGGCAAGACGGTCATTTCTATGTGCTGTCGTTCTCAGTACGTGTTCAGAGCGCTGCAAGGCTGCCTGCTGGTGGGTAAGGTATTTAGCAAGCACGTGTGATTGGCAAGTCCTGAGGGTGCTTTTTTTGCAAAGGAAAGACCTCCAGTCATCAGTGAAGAGTACAGCGATAAGCACATTTATTGCATCAAATACAACTCGCTGAGAAAGTAGAAGTTATTAGAAATTTGAGGTGGCTGGTCCTTGTGAGTGTGAGACACAGCATACCTGGATGTTGTCCCCTTCATGGAATGGCAGAGATAGTAACTGAATGAGTGTTGCTGTCCATGAGTTTCGACTTCGCTGAGAACATAGCACATCCGTCAAAAGGCTCCTTCCACTTTTTGAGTGTGTCCTTGCTTCTTTTCTTTCTTAATGATGCTTTGAGCATACTTGCATTTTTTCACACTCTTTTAAAATTTTTAATTGCACATATTTATGGGGTGCAGGGTGATAATTTGATTCATATATTCAAAGTGTGAAGATCAAATCAGGTTAGTTACATTTCCATCTCCTTAAACACTTAAAAAACTTTTTTGAAGACTTGCATTTTTTAGGGGGAAAAGGGTCATTTAAGTGTCCAGTTTCTGCTTCATGTGGCCATGTGGTTCATCTCTGGTTTTTGTTCTTTGCAGATGCAACCAAACAGCTTTCCTTGGCAGTCCCCTTTGCCGTGCAGCAACAGCCTTCCTGCTGCCTGCACGACTGGCCAGAGCAAAGTTGCAGCCTGGTTACAGGACTCGGAAGAAATGGACAGGTGTGCAGAAGGTTAGTTCCTGCCCATTTGGGCTGCAAGAATGGGCAAAAGAAACATGCATAAAACAAAATAAAAAGCAAAAAATGAAAAGATGAATGTGGGTGCTGTGCTTTCACCCCCCTCAAGTGGCCTGACTTTCCTGTTTTTATTTTTAGACACCAGATTCTTCTCCATCCCATGACTCAGCTTCTTACCTACCAGTTCTCCTGCACGTACCCCCACACAGAGAAGCTTGGGTTTTGCCCTTTGCCTACCTTCTACCCACTTCACCCTTCTTCTTTCATCTCTGTAGGGTTCTCTGTAGCTTCCTCAGCCTCCTGGGACCTGGGGAACTCCCACAGAGCAGTACCTCTCAGGAGAGCCCTCCACCCACAGCCCAGGCTCTCCCTTCCACCTCCTGCCTAGGTCATCCACAGCTGCTCTGTCTTGTCCATGGAACAAGTGTGTGTTTCCTGGCAGCCCAGCAAAAAATGGCAAAATTCCAATGCACTGTGTCTTATATCAACAGTGACCTGTTAATGGTGTTCCACTGTGGATCCATTGTTAAATATTCTAAACTAATATGCGATTCCCTCACTCTGCTGTCTCTGAGCCTCTTTATCTCCTCCCTTCTGCTTCCTGGTAATCAACCAGAACACATTGGTCAGGCGGATCCACTGATCATTTCCATTCTTTTTTTTTTTTTTTTTTAATTTTTGACAAGCAGAGTGGACAGTGAGAGAGAGACAGAGAGAAAGGTCTTCCTTTACTGTTGGTTCACCCTCCAATGGCCGCTGTGGCTGGCGCACTGCGGCCGGTGCACCGCGCAGATCCGAAGCCAGGAACCAGGTGCTTCTCCTGGTCTCCCATGCAGGTGCAGGGCCCAAGGACTTGGGCCATCCTCCACTGCCTTCCCGGGCCACAGCAGAGAGCTGGCCTGGAAGAGGGGCAACCAGGACAGAATCCGGCGCCCCGACCAGGACTAGAACCCGGTGTGCCGGCGCCGCAAGGCGGAGGATTAGCCTAGTGAGCAGCGGCACCAGCTGATCATTTCCATTCTGAGATGGTTCTGACCTTCAAAACAGAAAAACAAAGGGGATGTAAACCATATTTATTAAGGTTCAACTGATTTAATTTTAAAAATGATCTTGAGATGATATTGAGCCTAATTATGTTTAAATTTTTTCCCTTACCAAATCATAATGAAAGTAAATATTAAAATAACTTTTTAGTATTCTTCCTTAGAAAAATTAAAATTTGGCAATCTGTGTTAGTCCTCAACCAAAACCAAGTTTTTTTATTCTACTGGTTTGTAAACTCAGTCTGTACGATTTTTATCATCCCTCTGAAACACCTGTCCCACATGTGATGCTTATGGAAAATGGGATTGAAGAGGGAGTCTGTGTTCATAAACCACGTCTAGCTGACGTCCTGTGAGGAGAGTTTTCCTTGCGTGTATTCACAAAGCACTCAGACTGTAATTTGAGCACGTTAACTTGCAACCTTACACACACTTGGGCCGGCCCTCCAGCTGACCACATACATTACTGAGAAGACACCCATTTGAGCAACAGGAATGGGCATTGGCTTTGATGCCAAAGGGCCTCAGGCTGGTGGGAGCATGTACCTGTCTCCCTGTCTGCCCCAGCCACCTCAGTGGTCCGTCTGTGTGGCCTGGCCCCAGCGTTGGGGGAAAAGCCTCTTTCTCCCCATCCTAACAGCCCCTCCTGTGTCTGTCTGACCTCAGCATGTAGTGTCACAGCTAACTCTTTTCTTGGGGACAGCATTCCTTACTGTTTCACTAGTTCCTGCTCTCTGCCTCCAGACTATAGCTTCTCTCCTGTGCCTTGATTTTTTTTTTTTTTTTTTTTTTTTTTTGCTATGGATAAAGTACTCTTGGTAGGGGGTCCTGTGATTTCTGCCCCAGTTTCAGTCCCGTCTTCTGACCTGCCTGTATCATCAGCCTCCTCCTTTAGGCCCCATGAAGTTTTCTTTTGCCCCCACTGCTCCACTCCAGCCAGCCTGGCTTGTAGGAGTGATCAAGATTGTCTCTGCTTTCTGCATTAATTATAGTACCTACAGTTTATTGTGGACCAGACACAAAGCTGAGCACCTGAACTATGAGGGTCTTCAAAAACATTGTGAAAAATATGTATTAGGAAAAACATGCAAGAATTTCAATTTTTTTCACAAAAAATAAGCTTACATTTTAATTCTACTTCTCCACAAACTTTCTGAAATACTCTCACTTATGGTTTTGTGTCAATTTCATGTTACTCTTCACAGTGATAACAAGCAGGGATTATGTGCCCCAGAATTTTGCAGATTGGGAAACCAAAGTTCAGAGAGATCAAGTCACTTGCCCGTGTTACCCAGCAAGTTCTTGGCAGAGATGTAGGGCCAACCCAGGCCAACTTGATTCTAATAACTCTGCTCATTATCTTGGCGATAACAAGCATGCTCATAATTTTTTTCAGAAATTGTTCTTTAAAATGTTTTGTTTACTTTCATCTGCTTGAAAGGCTTAGTGGTACAGAGAGAGAGAGAGAGAGACAGAGATCTTCCATCCACTGATTCACTCCTCAGATTCCCAGAGCATTCTGGATTGAGCCCAGCCACAGCCAGGAGCCTGGAATTCCACCTGTGTCTCCCATGTGGGAGACAGGGGCCTAAGCACCTGAGCTGCTGCCTCCAAGGATGTGTTTGCAGGAAGCTGGATGGGAAATGGAGTAACAGGGACTCGAACCAGCACTCTGAGAGGGGATGTGGGCATCCCAACTCCCAGTGCCACAATGCCCACTCCTCAAAATTGGACCCAAAAGCTGTGTCAGTGATGCTAGTGGTGGCGCTGATGATGTTGGCCACAGTGGTGGCATGGTGGTAGCAGTGATAATGGGGATAGCAGTGGTCATAGTGGTACCAGTTAATAGATTTGGGGTGTTTCCTGTATCTCAGGCATGATTCTAGGTGTTTTATATGCATTAACTCATTCTTCCTCTCAGCTACATTTTGCAGATGAGAAAACTTCAGTACTGAGAAGTTAGCTCAGCTGGCCAAGTTCACCCGACCAGCTGGGTGTCAAACTCTGGCATGCTGACTCCAGAACCTGCGTCCCAACGTTGTGTCACGCTGCCATCCCAGCCTGCGTCTTCCCCAGCAGTGGGCCCAGCTCCATGACTTCCTTGTTTCTGTCAGTACTGCTTCCATAGCTGCCCTTGAGACCTCAAGGTCATCCTTGGCCCGCCCTCCGTCCCTGCTTCTCCAGCCCAAACTGAGCTCTGTAGTTGCTTTGACAACACCCCACCCTGCTTTTCCTTTCCACCTTCTCTCTCCTTTCCTTGAATTCCATTCCTGTTCTTCTGACTCAGCATCACCGTGTTCCTCGTCCCTGGGCGGCCCCTCAGCCTCCTGACTTGTCCACCCACACTCCATCCCTGGTTCTTTTGGTTCTTCCCTCTCAGAGGCTCATGGGAACCCACCACTCTTGGAGGTGCTGCTGACCTTGGGCCAGGACTTTGTTGCTCTCACCCACAGCGTTGCTACTGCCCCTACTTGGCCAACGAGGAAAGTGAAATGCGTGGAGTTCAGGCATTTGCCCCAGATGATATAGCTGCCCTGGTGGAGACATTGGGATGCCAGCCAACCCACATTTGACTAACCCGGAAGCCAAATCTTTGTCCACTGCATAATGCTCCCTCAAGGCTGTTAGCTCTTAAAATACCGTTTATGCAAAAATCCCTTCTGTGGTACTCTGTGGCTCTGGGGCTTTCGTCCATACTGTTTAGCATAGCATTTAGCAACTTGCACATTCAGCTTTTCTGGCCCTAAATGCCCTTTCAACCTTGCTATTTTGTGAACATATTTGCATGTTCCTACCTTGATGCCTTTGGACATTTTTCTCTTCACAACGTGCAATGCCTCCTCTACCCTTCTCTGCCTTCCTATTTTCCTGAATCCAGAGATAATTGCAGTCTCATTTAAGGGTCCTCTGGTGACTTTAAAGCACAGTCACTCTCCCTTCCCTAATCTCGTTTTGTCCGTTTTGATCATTTGTCATAGAGGTCCCTAATAATGAGATTGGCTGTGTTTCCAACGTAATAACATTTCTTGGTTGACTTCATCAGTTGCATTGGAAAAGATGTAACAGTGTCTCATGCTCGTGGGATGGCTGATTTATACTTGTCATTGTTTAAGAGGCTGGCCACTCATGGATCTGGACTTAGCAGTATAGATCTTCTCAAGTATATCAAGGAACAGCTTGACACTTAGAGCATATTTTCCCCCATCGAGATAAAATGTAAAGTTAGTATCATAGAGTGGACATGTAGCCTAGCAATTAACCGCTGGTTATGATGTCTGTGTTCCACATTCCAGCACCTGGCTTTTTAAAAAAAAAAAAAATTATTTGTTTATTTTAAAGGCAGAGTTACAGGGAGAGTGGGAGATAGAGAGAGATCTTCCATCTACTAGTTCACTCCCCAAATAGCCACAATAGCCAGGGTTGGGCCAGGCTGAAGCCAGGAGCCAGGAACGAGTTCCAGGTCTCCCACGTGGGTGGCAGGGGCCCAAGTACTCGGGCCATGTTCTGCTTCTTTTCCCAGGCCATTAGCAGGAAGCTGAATTGGAAGTGCAGCAGTCAGGACAAGAACTGTTACCCGTATGGGATACTAGTATCACAGGTTGCAGCTTTACCCGCTACTCCACAATGCCAGCCACTATACTTTTAGTTTTTGTTCTTAAAGATTTATTTACTTATTTGAAAGACAGGGTTACAGAGAGAGAAGAAGAGACAGAGAGCGAGATCTTGGCTTCTGCTGGTTTACTCCCCAAATGGCCACAACAACCTAGCTAGGCCAAGCTGAAGCCAGCAGTCTCCTGTGTGTGTACAGAGGTGCCAAGGACTTGGTCCATCTTCCGCTGCTTTCACAGGTGCATTAGCAGGGAACTGGATCAGAAGTGGATGCCGGCACTGCAGACCGCACATGACCTGCTGTACCACAGTGCTGGCCCCCACTATGCTTTCTTGACATAATTTTTCCTTCTCCCAGATTCTAAAATTAGATTTAATCTTAATTTAATGAAATCAAGAGTGTTTTTATCTTTGGGATGTCTTTGTTATCTATACGCAGCTCGATGCTTAGGCCAGCATTGGAATCCTGCCCAGGATTTGATCTCATCTGTGCTGTCAAGGACAGAAGTGGTGAGGAAAGGAGAGGCCTGGCCCACATCAAAGCTCTGGCAGGATGACATGGTGGGATCAGTACTCCTTAAAGACCATTTCTGGTTTGCATAGAGATTTCCCCCCAACCCCCAGCGTCTCAGCAGATAGGTGGAAGGGGCAGATAGTGTGATGAGCATTTCACAGGTGAGGAATCTGCCGCTGGAGGATATAAAGTACAACGTTGCCTTTGCACCCTTAGCTTGAAGGTTTTGGCTTTGAACTGAACGGATCCGTGAAGTTCTGTTTCCAAAGAGTGCATATTGTTTTGATGTGTTGAAGCCCTAGTCCTAGATTTTAATCCTACCTACATAGCACTATTTAGAACAATTACAATTATTAAGAAGTATGAATGTAATATGTACTAGACAGAAAGCTTGGTAGATAAGTGATTTTAGATAAAATCCCTTATGGTGTAGTTTTGTTCTTGGAAGTGTGCCCCTTTCTAGCCAGCTCCTTTCTCTCTAATGCTTTCCTTCATTCTTTGTACTGCCATTCGCCCTGATTGCTTATCTTTTATTCTCTACATTCCCTACCCTTCCAAGACACCTTACCGAGAGGTGCTGCCTCTCCTGAGGGTAGAAGGTACTGACCTGGTCGGTATGGTGGTATCAGGCATTTGCGTTTGTCAGTTTCACCCAGCACCTCCACTGGTGGGGGAATCTGAAGGCTATTGGTGATGAAGAGATCCCTGAAAGACAGCGGCAGCTCTTGGATCAGGGTTCCATCCTGCGGCAGGTGCTGCCGAGAGGAGGGGCCTAGGTGCATCCTGGGTGCTGCCCTGTTCTCCATGGAGTGTGCCGAGATTCTGAGTCTTAAATAAAGACCTTCCTAGGATCAACTCCTTTCTGTTACTTTACATCCAACCCCAGAGTCAAAAATCTCCTTCAAACAGCTACCTACTTACCTTATCATAGCCATATTTAGCAGCTGTATTTGACTGGCTCTACCATATATGATGAGTCTTTAAAAAGTTTATGCGTGGGAGCAGACATTCCGCCTAGCAGCTTAAATGCCTACATCCCACACTAGAGGACCTGGGTTTGATTCCTGGCCCCAGCTCCTGACTCCAGCTTCCTGCCATTGGAGACCGTCAGAGGCAGCTCAAGTAATTGAGATCCTGCCACCCACATGGGAGAACTGGAGGGAGTTAGTGGCTGCTGGCTTTGGCCTTGACCCAGTCTATCTCTCTCTGTGTGCATCTCTTCCACTAATACTTAAAATATTTATAAAAGTTCATTTCAAAAAAACTATGCATGGCCGGCGCTGTGGCTCACTAGGCTAATCCTCCACCTGCGGCGCCGGCACACCGGGTTCTAGTCCTGGTTGGGGCGCCGGATTCTGTCCTGGTTGCCCCTCGTCCAGGCCAACTCTCTGCTGTGGCCAGGGAGTGCAGTGGAGAATGGCCCAAGTGCTTGGGCCCTGCACCCCATGGGAGACCAGGATAAGTACCTGGCTCCTGCCATCGGATCAGCGCGGTGCGCCGGCCGCAGTGCGCTGGCCGCGGCAGCCATTGGAGGGTGAACCAACAGCAAAGGAAGACCTTTCTCTCTGTCTCTCTCTCTCACTGTCCACTCTGCCTTTCAAAAAAAATTAAAATTAAAATTAAAAAAAACTATGCATGGATTTCAAAATTTTTGGACCAAAATAAACTTATCTTTTAATTCCATTTTACAGGATCCTTTGAAAGTACCCTTGCACATAACAATTTTCAATCTTTGAAATTTGATGAGAAGCATAGATGATATAAATGGAACTTTCAGCAACTGACCCCAAAAAATAAGAACAGCCACTTTATAATTCAACAAGAACTTAGGGATGTGCCTTGTTGTGATCTGTTCATAAACAGGACACTTGCAAACATCAAGTGCCTGGAAGACAAATTCCAAATGTTTAGTCATTGAATAAGTAATACTGATAACTCAGCACTCCTGTTGAATTTCACAAACTAAAAGTTGGTTTCTTTAAAAAGTGATATTTCATTATGTAAATTATAAAAATTCTTTCTTGGTCCAAATACACCAAAAATTTATAGTAAATGTCACTTCTGCATTCCCAAGACTAATTCACACAGATTGAGTTTGATACTTAGGTGATGCTGATTCTGCTGGAGCAGGAAGCACTTTGAAAATCTTTGCGTTAGTATAATGTCTAATAGATTTTAAAGAAACAATTGCAACATTGTTAGTGAGCTGAGTTATAGAGAATTATGTTTGATTTTTGTATTCCATCCTCTTTTTTTCCAAATGTGACTTCAACTCCATCCAAATCCCAGGCAACCATGTTGTTAACCATTTTAGAGCAGGGTCTTAAGCATCAGGCCACAGGACGTGAACACGTCATTACCTGTGCTTTCCCAGATGACAAGCAGCAAAGCAGGAAAGTGATCTCGCACACTTGGACTGAGATTTTCATGGCTTCTACATTGGCACCTGTAAATTTCTAAAAGTGAGCTTTGAAATCATCCAGCTACCAGTGGGGCCTTAGTTCTAAAGAGGAGAAAGGCCTGTTTGATTTGCTAGTGTACATCGGCATATAAACACGGATCTGCCTGATCACGTTTGCTACAATTTGGGCCAACTCTCCTTGCTTACCATCACCACCACTCTCTGCCCAATTCTAAACATAGTTCTATTTCTGATTTTTATTAGATCTTGCACACTGCCAGTCAAACCTCGTGGAACTTAGCAAACTCCTGCAAAATTTGGAAATACTACAGAGAACTCAGTCGGCACCTAACTTCACCGACATGCAGGTAAACGTATTACTGTTACCGGTAAAAGGACTGAGATATTAATTTATACTCTTTACCGGGTTGTTCTGTGAATATATACGGTAAGGTTTAAAGGAAAATAGCTACAGTATACACTAGTTTATTTTCTGGAGCCTTAATACTTTTGAATCTCAGTGTTATTGTGTTCATTAAGATGGCTGTTCTTAAATGTTTTACATTTTTAAATACTAACTAGAAAAAATATATATGTGGTTGATTCTTTGAGGTTTATCTTACATTAGAAATGGTTTGAAAATATAATTTAGATACTCTCAGAATGACTAATTATCTTCCCGTAGACAAAAAATGCTAAAGATCTCTAATCCTAATTTCATTTTTTAAATGAGAACAATATCTTCCATAAATAAGTCATTTTCTAATTTTAATCCTCACCCTGCATCTGATGTGCTTTCTCTCCTGGCCTGCATATGTGACAAGGAGTCTTTACTAACTGCTGCGCTCTCTGGGTCTTAACCTGTGTCACCTGTGTTAACTTAATAATACTGTGTTGCTTTTAACTATTTGTGTAATGTAGGCTAACTGTGTAGATATTTCAAAGAAAGACAAGCGGGTCACAAGACGATGGAGAACAAAAAGTGTCAGCAAAGATACAAAAATACAACTACAGGTACAGATTTTACTTTTCCTTCCTTCTCATTTTTATATTCTCTTAAAGCAATAGTTGTATATACCAGTTCATGGGAGTTAAATTGAGGAAGCAGCTTTAATTGCTTTAAAGTCAATGCTTTTGAAACTGACTTATCTAAAATAGTGGGAAATCTAGTCATTTTTCTTACTCTGGCATAAGTGGAAAGAATTTGAATGCTAAAATTATATGACATTACTGAAAAGTGGTATTTTTCATGTCAGTTATGACTTCTGAAACTTCACATATCTAGCAAAAAGTAGCCTTAAAAATCTAAAGATCTAGTATGATGAGATAGATGAGCATAAATTTATATATATATCAGATCTTAAAAGAACCTTTTATTGTGTCAACATTGTCTGAATTTCTAGGAGCGTATAATGAATTAGAAATAAACCCAAGTTCTAGTCTCATCATTGTTTTCTGGCTATAAAGATTTTTGTGTATTTCTGTTAAATTTGCTGGGCTTCCCTAAGCCCCCAGGTGAAATGATGGGGTTAATTTAATGAGATCTGAATTCTCTTTCAACTCTAAAATTCTATGATTCTACAAAACAAAAAAGGTATTTGGGTGTGGGGAGCAAACCGGACTAGACTGTTACTGGAATTAAGACTTATTCTATGCATCTGCTCTCCCACAATATGGCGCTGGGAGAGAAGTAAACAGCTTCCGCACAGCTGCCTCCAGTTCAACCAATTAACTGTAGGACTTGCTCCTGATTGGAGAGCAGCGTACTCGGCGTGTGGGCAGCCGAGTTGGGATTGGCAGAGAAGGACTATAAAGGAGGAGAGAGACGGCATGCACCAGGAACATCTATGGGGAACATCTAAGGGAACCCGTGCAGCCCCCGAGAAAGCCGGCCGGCGGTGTGCCGCTCCCCTGCGGAAGTGGGGAATGTGGCCAGGGGGAACTGCCCTTCCACGGAGGTGGAAGGGATAGTAGCCAACCCGGGAAGAACCAGCAGCAAACCCGGGGAGGGCCGAGCAGACGAAAGAACAGCGCAGGGTCCCGTGTCGTTCCTCCACGAAGAGGGGGAGCGACATTTGGGCAGCAATAGTCACTTTAAAATGAGAACTGAAGTCTTAATAACTCATGATAAATTTACTTTGATAAATATATTTGATATAGTTTTAAATTTTTAAAGAAAGACCATCTTAGGTTATTGTATTACAGTGATACAAAATATGGTAAATGCCTAAAACTTCTTAGGTCATAATAGTATTATTTTCACATCTTTAAACTACATTCACTACTGTTCTCATCCTAGCTATTTATTATGAAGGACCCTTGCCCTACACAGTCAAAATTAGAGTTATGATTTGGCTGTTTTTAAGCTAAAATATATCCACTTATATTCTAACAAAGGCATAAGAAACTGCTTTTCAGAATTCTGCAATGTCTTCTAAGTTAACAAAATAATTCTCTAATTCTAACTGCATTAATAACACTTTGTATTGTAATTCTGAGTATGTTATTAACAAATTTTTGCTTTTCTTGCTAATCTGATGTAGTTAAAAATAATTCTTCACAAACTTAAAGACCTATTTTTTATTTAGAATGTCCATATTCAGTGAATATGATTCCTTGTGTTTATTTGTTCAGTATGTTTTTGTGTGCTTTCCTGACCATAAAAATAATGTTATAAGGACAAATGCCCCAAATGATTTCACAAGAAAACTATGTAAAATAGCTTTTGGCTATTCTATTTGTTTTGAGCTTGAGATTGTCTAATTGTGTATGTGTGTGTGTGTGTGTTTAAGCATGAATTCTATGGTTATCAAAGCTAGCAATAATAAAAAAGAACCATTTTAATAGATAAAAGAACCAGCTCCACAAATAAAACAATTGAAGAAGGCCAGCACCATCAGATGTTATTTCAGTCTTGTGTTTTTTGAGGTGAGCCACTGAGCGGATTCCCATTCATGCTGTTGTCTTGTGTAGTTTGGTTCTCAGTGAGTCTCAGCACAGGACCCCCTGGCTCCCTATTATGGCCAGAAAGCCACCGTGGTCCCATATTACTCAGTTGTATCTGATGGAAGCAAAATGCAAGTGTGAATGCCCCTGTAGTCACAAGCTGTGCTTTTAAATGTATAGAGAGTTTGTAAAGATTTTTCTGGATCACTGCAAGAAAGTGTTCAAGAGGCAGGAAAATCTTCTTTCACACTCATTTGTTTTTAAATTTTAAACATTTATCCTGTTGTGCTTTCTTTTTTCACCAAAGAATAACAAGAGGCCCTTGTAATCCTTATAATTCTTTATCAAATTTATTTATTTATTTAATTTTGGATCAATGTGTTACACGTTTTTAGGAATACAGTACATTTCTACACATGTACACAGCAGAAATCTACCAGAGCAGGCAACCAACCTTTCCATTTCCTTGCCTTCTTTGGCTGGTTTGTTTTTGGAGCCTGCCAGTTCCTGTCTTCTGGCTCTTTATACACAATATGATACAGCACTGGGCACCTTGGTGACAGCACTGAGCTGCAAAAATGCCAGCGTCCACTGCATTCACCCTGTTACATTTTGGAACCCATTATCCAAACTTTCCCCCTCCTCTTCCCTTCCCAGTTTCAGGTAACCACTATTTTATTATTTTTTAATATTTATTTATTTATTTATTTGAAACAGTTACAGGGAAGGAAAGCCAGAGAAAGAGAGAGCTATCTTCCATACACTGGTTCACTCCCCAAACAGACACAATGTCCAGGGCTGGGCCGGGCTGAAGCCAGGAGCCAGAAGCTTCTTCTGGCTTTTATAGTATATAAAAATGCTACTGACTTGGGGAGTTGATTTTACATTATACAACTTTATTGAATTTATTTATCAGTTCAAATATTTTCTTGGTGATGTCTTTTTTTTTTTTTAATTATTTTATTTAGTTAGTTGAGAGATAGAGTTACAGACAGTGCAAGGGAGAGACAGAGAGAAAGGTCTTCCATCCACTGGTTCATTCCCCAAATGGCCGCAACAGCCAGAGCTGCACCAATCCAAAGCCAGGAGCCAGGAGCTCTTTCCAGGTCTCCCATGTGGGTGCAGGGGCCCAAGCACTTGGGCCATCTTCTACTGCTTTCCCAGGCCATAGCAGAGCTAGATCAGAAGAAAAGCAGCCAGGACTTGAACTGGCACCCACGTGAGATGCCAGTGCTGCAAGCAGAGGCTTATCCCACTATGCCACAGCACCAGCTCCTTGGTGAAGTCTTTAAGTCTCTGTGTAGAATCATGTCATCTGCAAACAGAAATGGTTTGACTTCCTCCTTTCCTCGTTGCATACTTTCGTTTCTCTTGCTTAATTCCTTTGGCTAAAACTTTCAGTACCATACTGAATAAGAGCAGAGTTAGTGGACATCCTTGTCTGGCTCCAGATCTTAAAGGAAATGCTTTCAACTTTTCCTCATTCAATATGATGTTGTCTGTGGGTTTGTCATATATTGCCTTTATTATGTTGAAATATGTTTTTCTATAAATAATTTGTTCAAGGCTTTATCATGAATGGGTGTTGAATCGTATCAAATGCTTTTTCTGCATCTATTGAGATGATCATATGATTTTTAGTCATTCTGTTGATGTGATGTATTACGTTTATTGATTTGTTTTTTTAATTCTTGTTTGGGTGTTTTTGAAAGAAATTGAAATCACTTCATCCCCACACTCAAAGAAAACTTTGCCTTCTCAAAATTTAGCTTCAAATTCAAGTAGAAAACAAATAGACTTTGGGGTGGCAGTAAATTTTCAGTCACTCCCAGAGAAACTCCACCTCTTCTTTATCTAAAGCAAATAGTGTTGTAGGGTAAATGCTGCAGAATTTGAATCTTTTCTGAGTACCCAAACCCACAGGTCTTCCAGGAGCCCTTCTGATGTTCTTCCTCTGTTATTTGGAAGTTACTTGAAGTTCCTCCCACAGGCACACTTGGCTAGGGAGGGTGACCATGACGAACATAATAATGTTTCCTCAGCAGTATTATATTTACAGAAAAACATAATGTTTATTTATACTCTAGTGAATTAAACATACCAACTAGTCTCCCACCCCAGTTCTCACTTCTCCTCCTATTTTAAATGTTTGACTGTAGGATTTCTGTGTAATGATGCCAACTCTTTATTTTGAGCATGCAATTGTCTCAGTATTTAAATTGCTTTCCCTGATGATCAGTGCAGTAGCCAGTTTAAGAAGCTCTCGAGTTATGACAGCTCATTTCCCACCCCCCTGTTGTAAATTTTAGCGAACCAGCCAGTTGTGATGGACCCAGACTGGTGGTGGGGGTGATCGTTACTGCTCTTCCTACTGATGTTGTATTACTGAACTTTACATTCAGCCTTCTGTGATAATTGTCATCTTGAAATGATTATAAAATAAATCATTTTAAAAATAGATCTCAGCGAAGTTTCCTGGATGTTTCTTGGTTTATTCTTGCATTGATTAGATTGTGCTATGGATTTAAATGTAAACGTAGAATTCTGGACCTGCACACGTCAGCGTTGTTAGTTCTAATAAGATTCTCAGTATCATTATGCAGTAAGTTTGTTCTCTAAATAAGGTAGAGGAGGACAAGAAGGGAATGATTTTTAAAGGTTTGCTGTTGAAGAAAGAGCTGTTAGATTTCTTATACTGCTGATAGCATGACTTACATTCGAGACCCCTAAATATTGGGGGAGGTAAGGAAAAACAGATAGACCGTACAGATAAGTGATCTGATATCATTCATGTGTAGCTGTCCTAGATCTCAAAGTTGCTCAGATTATACTAAAGGGTAGAAGAAAATTCTCATTTTCACCACACTGAAGAGAAAGGAAATTTGTATAGAAAGCATTTTGTGGTAAATTATGTATATGTGTGTGCAACAAACATATACATAGATTAATATAGACTTGTGAAGATAAGAGAAAAATATGAATGTAATTCAGAAATTTTAAGGAGAATTAGAGATATAACCATTTTCAGTATATTTCAATTTTTCTAAAAAAACTAAAGCAGTCATGATTTTCTTTTTATTCTAGAATATTAAGTGATTCTAAGAAAGTATGTCTCAATTCAGTTGGAAATGAAATCATTGGTCACAGCCTTTTTACAAGTCTGGATCTTTTAGGGGCAGGCAAAATGGAGTGCTTGGAAGGAAATATCATTATCTCATATTCCAACCCATGAAAAAGCGAGGAAAAATATGGAAGAAAGTTCTAGAATTCTTCTGCTGGCATAGGGTGCACATCAGTAAATGAATTTCACCCACTTGTGGTTTTCCATAGTTGATTTTTATGGGCATTGTTCCATGATAGGTATTCTGTTGTGTTTTTTTTTTCCTTGTCCTAAAATGGACTGGCTTCCTCCTTGGAAAATCCTCTAACTTGAAAATCCCAACAGTATACCTAATATTGAGTCCAAATGAGCAAGGTTTATAGTCGGGGATTGACTGGGGAATACCAGAATCCTGGTACCCATCCCTCTGCTATTTTACTTCCCGATTAAAAATTGTGCCTGGCCAACAGGAGGCTCTTCTTGCAGCCTGTTTATCTTAGCCTTCATGCACCATTTAATCAGTTTCCCTGAACCTATTTTTTTCTTTACTATCATTAACTGAATAAGTTTCGACTTCATGTAACATTACAACATGACATCACATGAATAAAACGGTATGCACATTTATCTTACCTTAAAGTCACAGGCTAGTCACCAGTTCTTAATTTTCCATTTCCTTTTGGGGTGGGGGTTATAGTCAGCAAATAGATATCCGAGCGATTTAAAATGAGAACAGCAAACGTTTCTCACAGCACAAATGCCCTTTAGAGCTCTTTGCAAAAATTTTTTGCTACAATTTTTTTTTAAAAGTCAACTTCAGTTAAAAAAATCTCCCTCTCTCTTTCTGATTATCTTTCATCCTTCCATATCCCATCCTCCCCCTCCCCCACCCCACGTTTCCTCCCCTTTCTCTTCTCCCATTCACTGTCAGGAAGGGCCACCTGCGAAAGGCCAGTTCAGCACAACTCGGCGCCGACAGAGGCTAGCAGCAGCAGTGGCTACAACAGTGAGTGCATTTCAATCTCAAGTGCAAGTTTAATAAGAATGAGAAACTGTGTGCCAGGGTAACCTCCCCTATGCTGATGGTGTCACTCGTGTGCAGTGGCATCAACGAGAGCCCACTCGGGTCGGCATAGCTTTCGCATGTTCTCTGGCTGTCTTTGCATGGCAGGAGTCCAGCACAGGTATTTGTTGGTACAATGGAGAATATTACATAATCAGTGTGAGAAATAACTTAAGTTTGCAAAACTGAGTATAGCACCGTGTAGTGTGGAATTTTCTTAAATGATATTGTTGGTTTTTATTTTTATTTTATTTTATTTATTTTTTTTGCCATACTGATGTTGGAACCTATGCTAACTGATTTCTGTTTTTCTGAGAAAAGTCATGTTACTACAGACATAAATTGTGCTTTTTTTTGTAGCAATGTGACTATTTGAAAAGGATGTGAGAATAAAGAAATGAGAGGGTAAGAAAAGGTGAATTTTGATGTCATCTCTAAATGGCTACCCAAATTACACTTAGCAAGAGAAAATTGTTTTCCAGAAAGAATATTGTCATAAAAATCGGCAAATACAGTGTGGAAATTAAAAAAAAAAATGAACTGAGTGAGGTGGTATTTAATCCATATCTAGAGTTTTTTTTTTTTTTCTTAACAGAAAAATAGGATGAATATAAGGAGAGTAGAGGCCATACTGAGGTAGATAAGGCAAATAGTAGTAAATTGCCCATGTCAAATTTTCAATATAATATGTGAACACTAGAACCCTGCTGGGTAAAAATAAATCAGTATTTGATTATTTATGAAATCCCATGGACTTTTTAAACAAAGATTAATTTATTTATTTGAAAGTCAAAATTAGAGACAGAGAGAGAGGGAGAGAGAGGAGTGAGAGAGAGAGAGAGAGAGATTGAGATTGAGATTCCTTCTGCTGGTTCACTCGCCCAGATGGCTGAAACAGCCAGGATGGGCCAAGCGGAAGCCAGGAGCTTCAGGTGGGTTGCTGAGGCCGAGCACCTGGGCCGTGCTCTGCTGTTTCCCCAGGCCCTTAGCAGGGAACTAGAGAGGAAGTACAACAGCTCCAACACACACCAGCATCCACGAGGCCACTGCATCGACCCCAAAGTCCTACGAACTTTTTAAAATACAGATTGTTAAACTTACAGCAATCATGGATCTCAGTTTTTTGACTATTTGATAATATTTCCTGAATTGATAAAGTTTTGCTGTAGCTAAAGGTATATTTTAAGACTAGAATTTCTGAAAACTATGAAAAGGTTTTGGTTGCATCATAGGATAGGTACTAGTGCAAGGACTGTTGGCTTTTTCCTTCATGATAAGTAACTGATTCTTGCTTGATTTCTAAATGTCTAGCTGAATTGTTTTAGAAACCAAATTGTTTCTGATTATAAAGTGAACCAGTGACTGGGAATTTATTAGGGACCTGACTCTTAAACGTACAGTTTTGTGAACATTTGAACAAAAATGGAAATTGCTTTCATGGTCAGTGATTCAAGTGCAAATGAATTAGGTCCTCAGCACTGATGCAGTACCAGGTTCTGACAGTAGATATGTACATAAGCAGGTAGACAACTCTTAAACATGATTTTTCATTTGTAAAATTAAGAAATCCAAATGATTATTAGCAACAGAATGGTGTTTCAGTCTGGAAAGGAAAGCTCAACCACCTGTGAAAATAGTAATGTTTCCTTAAATACTTTGCTTCTAGAATGGCATGCAGGGAAGTGATTGCATTTCTCCTGTGTTCATTTTTAAATTGCAGATACATACAGTGAATATAATAAAGCCAAGATTAATTCCTATTTGAATAGAATAGGTATATGTTTTAAAAATTGGGAATATTCCAAGAAGGAAAAAAAACTTGTAAACAGGAAAACATTCGTGCCCACCTCTCAAAGTACCTGTGACCATAAAAGTTATATGAAAAACATAGATGCATCTCATGAGAAAAGCTACTGGGCATTGTTTGGTAATATATTCAGGAATAAATGGTTGGGGGATGGGTGGCTATTCTAAACCTTCCATTATCTGTAACTTTGACTCCGCACTGAAACAGCCATTGATCAGGACGCTGAGCCGGCCCCCTCCACTCACATCCTGGGACCTGGCCTTGACGACTCAGTTCCCTGTTTCTTTTTGTGCAGTGGTTCTTAATTCCCAGCCCTTCCTCTTGCCCGGTGCATTTTGGGCCTATCCCATATGGCTAGGTGCCTTTTTACCTAAAATCCATCCCTTGTTTTCTTCTCCTGCTCAGGTACCTGGGCTAGCATGACAGCCAGACCCAACAGAACAGGAGGTTGGGGAAAGAGAAATTGAACTCTCTCCACATAGAAGAACACTGAGAGTCCCAAAGCAGTTAGTTCCTTCAAAGGACCTGTCACACTGCCTTGACATGTTCTAGAAGCTTAGCAGTTATCATAGACCTACTTCCATTCTTTCCTGTTTACTCTTGCTAAATTAAGTGCCAGCTGCTCCACGCTCAGATCATTTCTCCCTTGACTTCTTCACGAATGAGTGCTAGGGGCATCCCCTAACATTCCCATTCTAAACTGCAGTTATTGGTTCTGGAATATTCCAGGGTTGGGCTTCCTCATGGCCTTAGGACTTCAAGGATACCTTGGTCTTCTCTCCTGAGCAGGGTAGAAAGGCCCAAATCTGCCATTGAGGGTTCTCAGGTATAAACATGGAGACACTGTAGACAACTCCCACCCCACCATCACACAGAGAAATGAGTTAGCACTTAAAATTTTGAATCCCCTAGTACGCAAATTAAGAAACAAGTACCTGAATGAATAAGCCCTGAAGCTGAAGAGGCATTCGATTAGAGTTAGATAAATTCACCCAGTTTGTATTCTCACTTTAATGTTAAGAATTCCTCAATTAAAATGACTCATTCCACTTACTTCTTTTAACAATGACAAAAAAGATATCAATATAAACACTTTCAGCCAGAAGCACATAAAAATTAGTTTTCAGTTTCCCAGGGAGATTGTAGTTTGAATGGTGTTTTCCCTGTGGGTCATGTACAAAACCACTTTTACTGCTTTAATAGCCAATTTGGACTTCTGTTATGGTCAGAATAAGGATTTATCACTGAGGCTTCTCAGCTTCTGGCTCCAGCATTCACTAGAGGCCATTATCCCAGGCACAGGTCTGGGTGCTCACTGGACTCTGGTCCTCACTGTACAAGTCTCCCAGGCAGCCCATCCCCACTTCTCACCCCTTCCTCACCACCCACCTGGGAAGACTTTGCTCTTGAGCGGTGCAGCCCTGAGGGTGCTGAGGGCTCCTCCATGCCCATCCAACCCTGGCAATGACCCTCAGCACATCACATCTCCTCTCACCAAACAGCCCCATTCCTTTTTTTCAATGCATTTCTTGTTCCTTTTGTCAAGAAGCCTGTTTCTTAAATCCTAAAACTCCCTGGCCTCCCCATGTCTTCAGCCCCCAGTCTCTGCCCTTCACCCCCTTGTCTCCCCGGACCGACCCTGTCCATGGATTCCCTGTGCCCTTGCTATAGGACTGTGGGCTAACTCCACTTCCTTTATTCAGCAGCATCATTGCCAAGGTCAGCAGTTCCTTTATCCATCTTTAAATGTTCTTCTACATAACCCTATTCCTTTCCAGGTATCCCAAAAGTACCTTGGTCATTGTTACCATAAGGATACCAGACAGGACCCCAGCAAATGATTGAACCCCAGGGCTCTGGAGCCTCAAGTAGCTTAGTTACTACTTCTGTATCAGTCTGGGTCAGCTGTCAGTTTTGAGCCTGATAATTAAACAGGCTGTTGACACCTCCCAGCCAAGTGTGGCTGAGGTTCCACCAGGGGTGGACACAGTTACTTTGTAACTCCTGATACCAAATGCTTTGGATCACAAGCTTGTTGACAGGTGCAGCAGCTGAGCTGAATTGAGGGGGAAGGTTTCATTCACTCTGTTCCCTTGGATATTTCTTGAGGTAAATATCTCCCAGCCAGGGCAAGGCTAGGTCAGAGGGGCCCTCTGCTGGGTCTCACCTGCCAGCTGATTGCAGCTCAGGCCAGATTTTGGGTTCTTCTCTCTCTCTCTTCCCTCTGTCCTCCATAACCTCAGAGTTAAGAGAACCCTTTCCCCAAGCCCCCTCTTCCAGCAAATCTCTTAGGAAATTTGGAGCTAAAAATAGAAAAAGTGGCTCTGCCATATATGCACATCAGACAAGGTATTGGCCTTCTTCCTACAGCTTATTTCCTGTGAGGTAGACAGGAGGTGTGAATCAGGCTTTGAGTTCACAAAGCAGCTTGTGGTGAAGCTAAGAGTATGGTTTCTTGCAGAAAGTGAACATGTATGCAGTAGGAATGAGGGAGAAGTTACTGGTGATCTGATTTGCAAGGGGCATTGGTGTTTCCATTTTCCAGAATTTTCAGCTGACAGTGTCTGTACTGCTCAGACAGGGCATTCTTGAAAGGGAAGAAAAGGTGCTTTGCTTTCACACATCACAAGCTTCATCCAGAGCCAGCCTGGACAGAGCACCTGTAGCCATTAGGAAAAATCTCTAGTAATATGACTTTTTCTATTCAATGCATTTCACTGTTGGCCAGTTCATAGGCCATTTCATAGATGTGTAAGAGGGTTGTATGTAACATACAAAGATAAACTACTGTGACCTGCATAATATATTTTCCATGTCTAATATATATTTTAATAATTGAATCAATTTCAAAAATAATTAGACCGTTATTGAGTTTGCTGTTAAACTTGATTTGTGTTTTAATTAATGGCTATGAGGTGAGTTAATTGTGGATATAGATATAGATATAGTATTGAGTTTTTACCTGTTTAGTAAGACCCTGCTCCAGGCTCAGAGAGGAATGAGCATAAATAACCTTCTAACCTGGTACTCAGACTTCCTGAAGCCGATCACCTCCAGCCCAGTTCATCTGCTGTTTTCTACCAGTTACTTTTTAGATCAAGTGTGACTCACAGTTGATGGTTATCTGAGATTCTTCCTTTTCTCCCCGTCATTTTCAGTCACCTTTCTATGTAACCATGAAAAGACAGTAAACCTGTGGCAGTTCTAGATCAGCTATGGAACATGAGAAGCCCTCCTCCCACCCCCAAGCACCTGCAAAGTGAATGAGTACTGAGTGTCTCTGAGGGTGTCCTCAGAGAGGCAGCTATCCTTTGAAGGCCTGGGAGAGGTCTTGTCGTTGTGGGGAAAGGTGGAACGGTGCACTGGTGCTCTTTAGTAATTTGTCTCTTCCCCTTTCAGGTCCCTTTCAGTGCTACCATGTCACCCGTGCGCTTGCACTCCTCCAACCCCAACCTTTGTGCAGATATTGAATTTCAGACTCCCCCCAGCCACCTCGCTGACCCTCTGGAAAGTTCAACGGATTATACAAAGTTGCAAGAGGAATTTTGTCTAATTGCACAGAAAGGTAACAACAAATATTATGTACCCTTATCAAGAAGTTCTCTTCTTTTATGATTTTCTTTTATTCTTTTCTCTGCCTGGGTGGTAACAGTACAGAGTTAAATAGTTGTATTTACTGATTGGAGTTCTATACACAAAGTGTAGCAGGATGTAATGCCTGTCTGTTGGAAGAACACACATCACAGCTTTATAGTTTTGACTGGATTTAAAAAAAAAAAAAAAGTGCCATGGGGTAGAGGGAGGAAAAAAGGACAAAGAGCGTTATCCTAGGCAGTCCAGCAAAGTATTACTATTTTACACCTTTTTGTTAAATATCATTAGTTATCATTGAGTGTATATTTATTGGTTATTTGTAGCAAGGAAAAAATAGGTTTTTGTTTGAGTCCTTTTTATTATGAAACAATACTCATTTATTATACTTTATTCTACTTTACAAATGTACTTTTTTTTTCTTTTGACAGGCAGAGTTAGACAGTGAGAGAGACAGAGAGAAAGGTCTTCCTTTTGCCATTGGTTCACCCCCCTAGTGGCCACTACGGCCGGTGCTGCGCCGATCCGAAGCCGGGAGCCAGGTGCTTCCTCCTGGTCTCCATGCGGGTGCAGGGCCCAAGGACCTGGGCCATCCTCCACTACCCTCCTGGGCCACAGTAGAGATATGGACTGAAAGAGGAGCAACCGGAACAGAATCCGGCGCCCCAACTGGGACTAGAACCTGGGGTGCCAGCGCCACAGGCAGAAGATTAGCCTAGTGAGCTGTGGCACGGCTACAAATGTACTTTTTACAGTTTGTATGTCAGAAGTCCAGGCAGGGCTGAGCTATACAGCTAAGCTTCTGTGCCACCTGCCATTGTCCAGGCTCTTCAGTGGAATTCAGCTGGAAGCTGGGCTGGGTTGAGAGATCCAGGTGCCGTCCCCCACATACCTGGCACATTGGCAGGAAAGCTAGAATGCAGCGAGCAGTTGTGCCCCTCTTTCTGTTCAGGACATGTTAGAGCTTCAAGAAACTGCAAGTGGAAGCTTCTAGTCCTCCTCAAGGCCAACTGCAGAACTAATGCAGCATCACCCCCAGTGTATTCTACTGACCAAAGCATCACAGGCCAGTTCCTATTTGAGGGTTGGGAAACTACTGACCACACCCTTGAGTCTGTTTTTTCAAGGGTGGGCATTTAGTCTAGCAAGTGAGATGCCTGGGTGCGATATTGGAGTGCCTGGGCTCCAGGCTGGCCTCTGGCTCCTAATTCCAGCTTCCTGCTAGTGCAGACTCTGGGAGGCAGCAGAGATGGTTCAACTAATTGGATTCAACCTGAATTGCAGTGCTGATTCCCTGCTTCAGCTCCAGCTATTGCAGACCTTTGGAGAATGAACCAAGAGATGAAGTTACTCCCTCACTCCCTCCCTCCCTCTCTCTCTCTTTATTAAAATTACAGTAGTGTTTATGGTTCCACTGTTAGTATCAGCCACAGAGTGTGAGTCAAATACATCAGTAGCAGGAGAGTCAGTAGACTGAGCAGTCCTGTCTGTTCTTAAGAAGAGCCTTGGCCCCCAGTTGACAGCCCCTCATTGTGTAGTGTTTCCTTTTTAGCCAGTGAAGTTCATTTTTTGACTTTAGAATAGTGTCTTCTCGGGCATTTCCTTTTAAAACCTTCTGAAGAGGGAGATAAATTATTTTGTTTTCAGATACTAATACCGTAATAGTTAATTAATCACCGTTATTTCCCCCTGGAGTGGCTGGTTAATAGGTTATAAAATGTTCTTGAAAACATGTGTTAAAGGGAATATCCCAAGTGTCCTTGTAATACTCAAGAGCCTGGTGGCTCAAGAAAAGAAGGTACACACACTGAAGGCATCTCTGGGAAACTTGAACACAGCACAAATTCTGAATTTCAGCGAAAATGTGGTGTGGTGTTTTCCAATGGCCTTGGCTCCCAAATTAAACCCCCTCATACCACTGTAGTATTTAACTTTCAGATATCAGTGGAAAGACAATCAGCTGTCAGATGATCAGATATTTCTCTAACTCCATAATCCTAAAACAACTAAGCTAAATCATTTATCAGTTTGCTCCTTGTTTCTATGATCTGTCAACTGAGATTCTGTAAAGCCAACAACTCTCTCTCACTTGCCTTTTTATTCCTAGTAAATCCCTTTTCATTACTGATGCTGATTATGTTATTGGAGTAGAGCAATATTATCTTGTTTATATAGAGTGGAGATACACAGCCAGTGACTTTACTTCTGGGGGAAGGCATACAGCAAGTTCGGATGACAAATGTGTGATCTGAGAATCACACAGCTGCTAAAGAGAGAGAGAGAGGTATTTGAAGGCAGCCCCAGGAAAGCTTTGTGTATTTTCTTTCAATCCTAAAGTGTTCAGGTAATCCAGATTTCAACAGTTTTAAAGCCTCTGTTGAAACTACATACTTTCAACAGACACACAAATTTTCCATGCTGGGAAAAGGCGGGGATGGTGGGCGCTGTTTTGCTGTGACTCTTGTAAGCTCTGTAGATGGGTGAGGAGTCTACTTATGGAGCTAGCAGCCAGGTTAATATATTCCATTACAAACTTATTGCCTTTAAATTGATAATAATGGAAAGTAGCACACCCATCAATAGGCTGTGAATCCCTTGTGATCCTGCTATTTTGCCTCTTTAATTCAGGCCACTGTGTTTTATGCTGAAATTTCCCACTTCTTTTAAAAATAACCTTTCTCAAAAAAAGAAAGACCTATTTTAGAAGACTTTACATATTATAAAAGCTCTGTTATTGTAAAAGTAGGAGCTGGAAGTTCAACCTTTTTGTCGTTCTACATTAAAGACTGCCTCGGATTTTGCCGATTCAAGTCGTGAGGTATGTAGGAAGTGAGGGGAGCGGTGACGTTTTTATTGTTGCTTTTAAATAAAAGTCCTTTGTACATCAAGACATTCCTGGTGGAGGAACTAATGCCAGTGCTCTTCTCATGATCAGATCATGTCCTGCCTCCTTGACAACTTGTCAGAACATGGAGATCGACACCTGTTTCATGTCTGCAGAACTCATGAAATGCTCCTCTTTTGAGCACAAGCTTTGGGAAATAATATTTGGTTGGTTGTAAATGCCTTGCATGAGACTTCATGCTACACAGAACTGCTCAATTATTGTCATCAAATATGGGAAGTAAAACTGGTAACCAGAGTCTGTATTGGAGTACAGTGGGTTAAGCTACTGCTTGAGTCATTGGCATCCTGTATCAGAATATCAGTTGTAGCCCCAGATGTTTGGTTTCTGATCCAACTCTCTGCTAATACACCTAGGAAGGCAGTGGAAGATGGCCCACATGCTTAGGCCCCTGCCACCCACATGGGAGATGTAGATTGGGTTCCTGGCTCCTGGTTTTGGCCTGACACAGCCCCAGCCATTGTGGTCATTTGGTAGTGAACCAGCACTACCTCTTCTCCACCTGACCCCACCTCTGTCTCTTTCTTTCTTTCTGTCACTCTTTCTTTCAAATCAATAAATACACAAACAAATCTTTTTAAAAAACTGTTCTTTTTTCCTTCCAGAAATTATAAATTCATTTCTAAATATTGACATTTAGAATTGATATCTGCATTTCATATTCTGTTTCCAAGTGTTGTTGGCTTCTCTGGTATGACTGCTAACAATTTTCATATTGTTAATTACAATTAATTATAATTGCCAAATTTGTTTTGAGTATAGATACTCGGATAGATTCCATGTTGATGTTGATGTTTAGTTAAGCTGTAATGTAGCCTTTGCAGAAAATGCGTATGAGTTAAAGCCCTAGGGAGTTTAAAATTGCATGCGTTCATTTTGGACACATTTTAATGTTTCTTTCCCACTTTCCTTCCCCCACCCAGTGCATTCTCTTTTGAAGTCCGCCTTTAACAGCATAGCTATAGAGAAAGAGAAGCTGAAGCAGGTGGTTGCTGAGCAGGATCACAGCAAAGGCCACAGCACACAGATGGCCCGGCTCCGACAGTCACTGTCGCAGGTAAATGGCAGTGTTTGTTCTCCGTGCATGACCCGTTGCCAACCCTGAGAGTCTAAAGATGCGGACAGGGCACTCAGTCCCGGGGATGGCACATTCTTCTCACATTCTCCCAAGACACTGCAGTGTCAGTATTAAGTTTTATTACATTTCTTCCCCCAAGATGTCAAGATAAGAGTAAAAATAAACCAAATTTGCTTGCACACATTGTTGTTTTGACTAATTGAATGCTCAATGTCTATGTAATTTTTAAGCTATAGCCCCCGGTTTTACAAAGAGAAACATGCATTTATTCGTGATTTATACCTCTAGAAGATATTCCAGAATATGTATTTTGCAGTCATAAATAGAGCAAAATCTAGACCTTCCACACTTTAATATTTTTCTCACTTAAAATATATTTTAAATTGTTGAAAATTAGTGATTGCTATTACCTATTGTTTTTCTTTCCTAATTTTCACTCTTGGGATTTTCTTCCTATATTAAATTTCCTGAAACTAGACTTTTCTATTTTAATATATATTACACAATTGATCTTATTAATACTAATCAAATATCTATGTACAAGAGTATCTCAAAAAGTTCATGGAAAGTGGAATTAAAATATAAGTTTATTTTGCTGCAAAAAGTTTTGAGGGGCCTGCATTGAGGCATAGTGGGTTGAGCCACTGCCTGCAACGCCGGCATCCTGTATGAGTTCTGGTTCATGTTCCGGCTGCTCCACTTCTAATGCAGCTCCCTGCTGATGCCCTGGAAAAGCAGCAGAAGATAGCCCAAGTGTTTGGGCCCCTACACCCATGTGGGAGACCTGGAGAAAGCTCCTGGCTCCTGGCTCCTGGCTTCAACCTGGCCCAGCCCTGGCCATTGCAGCCATTTGGTGAGTGAATCAGAGGATGGAAGATCTCTCTCTCTTTCTGTTTCTCCCTCTCTCTCTCTCTCTCTGTAACTCTGCCTTTCAGATAAATGAGTAAATCTTTAAAAAAGAAAGTTTTAAAATTCATTCGTAATTTTTTTCAGGATATACATTTTTTTGTGAACTTTAAAAAATATTTACTTACTGGATAGGCAGGGAGAAAAAGCTCCCATCCACTGGTTCACTCCCCAAATATCCACCATGATTCCTGACTGAAGGCCAAAGTCAGGAGCCAGGGACTCAAATCTAGGTTTCCCGTGTGGGTGGCAGGAACCCAACTCCTTGAACCATTACCTGCTGCCTCTCAGGATACACATCAACATGAAGCTGCAGTCAGGAACCAGAGCAAGAACCGGATGTCACACCCAGGTATTCCAACATGGGATATGGTGTCTTGACTACTATGCTAAAGACTTACCCCTCCATGAGCTTTTTAAAGAGCCCTTATAAATCAGTGTTGAAATTTCTGATTAAAATCTTTTAATCGTGCATGCTATCCTTTTTACACTTGAGTACTTCTTTGCAGTATATATTTTCTAGAAATACACTTCGTTAAATTCTTTGTGAATTCAATGTTGTAATATGATTTTATGTGAGAACTGAGTGTTTATGTAAAATATTGTTCACTTCCTGGTGCCTTGGATCAGAGTGAAGGAGCAAGCAAACCCTGGGTAAGTGGTTCTCCATGTGGATCAGATCCTGCTTGAATGGTTCTCCTCAGTCCCTAACACTTAGCTTTACACTGTGTCATCCTGTTGTACGTACCTGATCTGTCAGCGTATCTTCAGTGTTAAGTCTCATGTTATGAAAGTGCTGTTACCTGGACCACACTTTCTGCATTCACCATAAAACACTGCCACCTGAGGTGTGTCAGCTGCTTCCGGTGCAAAACCAGGGGCCTCAGGAGCATGAGCAGTAACCGTGGCAACTGCCTGCCAGTCTGCCGAGGGCTCTCCTGGGACACGGAATGGCTGTCCCTGGACACTTCCCGTGTCAAGTATCTGTTGAACACACAGTTGATGTGGCTGGTCTTCCAAATCATTATGAAAGAAAGTAGTATAAATCAGAAAAATCCAAATAATGGTCAAGTAAACATGCAGATGTCAGCTCACAAACACATAAAATACATTCTTGTTCCCCAAATGTCGCAGTGTTTCTCTTAGGTGTTCCAACATTGGAGGCCTTGTGAGATAAGTCAAGCTTGGGCTGAGACAAATAAGAAATTGTATTGCTTGCTTGCTTGCTTGCTTCTATTTGCTTGTTGGTAAAACAGAGAGGGGTAACTGAAGATCTATGTTTGAACCTCAGGTGAGATTTGAAATGATCATGAAGAGAAATTGTGAAGCAGTCGTTCACTTGCTGATTCATTCATTCATTCAGCTGACTGTATGCCACATGTTGTGCCGGGTGTGGGACACCACCATCAGTGTCAGCCTGGCCACGTGCCCCGGAAGCTCATGATCTAGTGAAGATGAACGGTAGTACCCAGGGGCAGGGAAGTGCACCACAGTGTAGGTCATTCTGTGTCACGTGACAGTGCAGACTTCCAGGGCTATCCCTGAGCTGAGACCAGAGCTGTAGGTCAGGCTCCCTGAATAGACAGCAGCCGATCCGACAAAGGGCCTGGTGCTTACATGATGAAAGGAAAAGAAAGCAAAATTATGTCAACTGTGCAGTCTTTGGCTTAAAGTATCTCTGTCTTATGTGAAAATACACTTATTTGTCTCTAAAGCTTGAGCCTCAGTGCATTTTTGTCAAGTTATTTGTTTTTTCTTGGTTATATTTAATGGGTTTAAAAGAAAAAAACTGACCTTAAAAAGATGTGAAAATGTTTGGGGTCCATGAAGATTGGCACAGATAAATTGGAGAATCCAGTGCTTGTCATCACGCATTGCCATGGCATTTTGCCTGTGTTCACATCCTTGTATCAATCTGTACCTTCCCACCACGCCAGATGGAGCTTCTCTGCCGTCTAGTCCTACCACCCCTGAGGCTGCAATCTCTTTTGGAAATTACCACAGCCTGTGTTTAGGCAGTTAAGTTTCCTGACAGTTTACTCCTTTCCTCTCTCCTCTCCTCGCTCCTCGCTCCTCTCTCTCTTTGAATATTTATTCATTTATTTGAAAGGCAGAGTGACACAGAAAGGGAGAGAGCGATCTCCCATCTGCCAGTTTACTCCTCAAATGGCCACAACAGCCAGGGCTAGTCCAGACCAAAGCCAGGAGAGCCTGGAACTCCATCCAGATCTCCCACATGGGCATCAGCAGCCCAGGCACTTGGGCCGGCCTCCAGTCTCTTCCCGGGGCATTACCGGGGTGCTGAATCAAGCAGAGCAGCCGGGACTTGAGCTGGTGCTCCAGTGTAGCATGCTGGCATTGCAAGTGGTGGCTTAACCAACTGCAGCACAATGCCAGCCCCCAGTTTACTCCTTTCTAGTAAATTACTATCCATGGTTAGGTCACCAAAGATGTTTCTGGAGAATGGCAGATAGTTGATAATGGCTGAAGAATGGGGTGAACAAGGAAGAATTCAGTAGGTGGGAACCAGCTCATCAGGGACAGAGTTTAGATTCATCCTGCTATTCCAGAACTAAGGACCCAGCATTGGCAGGAGGACCTAGATTTTAAAGACTGAGCAAGGAGACTTAGCATGACTTGGAGATGAGTTGAACATTAGAGAGAGACAAGGTGACAATCAAGTCCATGTTTATTACCCAGACAAGTTAGTATATACCAGTTCTTTAGAAACTGTTTGTCGGTATGTGATGAGCAGTGCTCATGGAGATGGAGGTGTCTGTGGGATATCCGACAAACAATTATATTTGCAGACCCAGAGCTCAGGAGACCCTTGTGGGCTAGCAGGAAAGATGAGGGTGCTCCAGGATGTGGGTGGAGGTACAGCTGCTGAGGAATTCTGTGTTTTCCCTAAGAATAGAAGTTGGTCAGTGTCATCAGCGCTGCCTTGAAGAACACTAAAAGGGTAAGCTAAGAAAGAGAATAGGATTCCTGGGGAAGCAACCAAAGAATTGGGGAGCCCTATTTGGTACATATCTAGAGATTAACATACCGATTTTCAGTGAGGCTTTTGAGTATGTATATCAACTCAGCCAACTCCGTCATCCTGTTTAGAAGGCACATGACATATGAAATAAGCGTTTTTCACTACATGCTCAGCATAAATTATTTCCTGCCCTGAGCAAGTAACAATTTGCAAGTCTGTATGGTCAAATGAATTCCACTTCCTTTTTTATAAGATTTTATTTATTTATTTATTTATTTATTTGAAAGGGTGACAGAGAGGAAGAGCTCCATTAGTTTATTCTCCAAATGGCTGCAATTGGCACGGCTTGGTCCAGGCTGAAGCCAGGAGCCAAGACCTCCATCTGGGTCTCCCACAGGGATGACGGATCCAGGTACCTGGGCCATCAGCCACTGCTTTCCCAAGCACGTTCGTGGGAGCTGGATCAGAAGTAGAGCAGCTAGAGCTTGAGTCAGTGCTCCAATATGAGATGGCAGAGTCACAAGTGGCCGCTTAATGTGCTGCACCACAATGCTAGCCCCCCCAAAATTCTGCTTCTGAAGTCATATTACGTATGTGGTCTGTATGTACACAAACACATAATTCTGTGATTTTACCCACATCAAACTTAAATTAACTTTCACATCTAGAGGCAGTATAGATGTTGGACCCAAGCCTGTAAGACAGGACATTTTATGTGGCATCTGTCCTTTATAACTGACCTTTAAATCACATCAGGTATAATTTCATATCCCATTTAATGTAGTAACCTGAATACCAAAATAAAATAGTATACTGAGTGGGAAAAAGAAACATTACTCTCAATTCCACTGTCACAGTGCTTCAGAGGGACTGGGAGGAGGCATGTGTCTCTCTGAGTCAATGAAATATGCTGTAAATGGGGATATGAGCAAAACATGGGCTTAAGACACATGCTAGGATAATTAAAACCTAATCATAACATCTGTCGCTCTTCCACAACATGTCGCATGCACAAATATACATTCTGTGAGGGGATAGAATTTCCAAGTATATTTATTTGTTCGTGAATTCCACAGGAATGGAGTAAGCCTTGACCAAATCTGTTGTGTGCCAAGATTTTCTTCTTCATGTCTCCTTTATGTCTTTTTTTTAAACTACCCAGCAAAGTTAAATTGACATTTTGAACATGACGTAGCAATATTTACTTATTTTTTACAATTGTTTATTGAGAGAGACACATACAAAAAGAGAATTCACTCTCCCACTGCCCAGAATAGCTGGAGGTTGGTTGGACTGAAGCCAGGATCCAGGAATTCAAGCTAGGAGTCTCATGGGGGTGGCAGGGATGACCCAACTACTTGAGTCATCATTGCTGCTTCCCAGGGCCCTCATTGGCAGGAAACTGAAGTTAGGAGTTAGAGCCAGGAATCAAACGTAGGTTCTACCATGTGGGATGCAGGTATCTTAACCACTAGGTGAAACACCCTTGCCCAGAAGTATTTATTAAAAGCCTTAAAAAGTTTTACACTTTGATTGTGTAAGTCCCCAGGTGAAATATCTTGTCTAAGGAAATAATGGTGAGTATAGAAAACTTATGCACATAAGTGTTAATTATAGCATCATTTATACTTGTAAAAGTCAGTAATGGCATAAGTACATAATAAAGGAAATAATTGCTTATTATGCAATATTAAAATTTATAAAAAAGTTGCAACATTAAAATAGCTGCTTATGTGCGAAGGATAAGAGGCATACACGGGATGTAAGTGTACCCATTAAACAGTATGAAAACATGCATAGGGAAAAAGTTACCAACAGGTGGGTAGTACAGTATGAATGTTTTTTATGTCTAGTTTTTATTTTTTATAATTTTGTAATATTTCCCCAAAATATTATAATAGATTTTCTTCATTGAACAAACAAGGGGACCTTTTAAGTGATAACCAGGATTTGCAGACTTAATTTTCCATTCCTTTGGAACCAGTTTTACCTGTAGACAAAGGGTGTAAGTTCACGATGGCTCCATCTTGCCATGTGGTTCATTTTATTCCCCAGCCATCAGGCGTCCGTGTCTCCTTCCAGGAGTCCATGATTCCATTTAGTAAGATGTTTATGCCAGAGTCTCACTCCCTCTAAGGTGAATTCTCAGCCGTTGTCTTTCATTGTCAGTGAGTAATAGTTGATGGCTGAGAGGTGAGGACTCTGAGACTGATTCTGGCTCTGACCTTCTAGATGGTAACTTCTTTTGTAGATTGGGAAGGGACTCAGCACCTGCAGGAATGAGCATGCATTGTGGAGAGGTGCCGGTGCAGTGCAGGCTCACCCAGGGAGCCTACAGACAGTGCCTGGCTTCATGGGACTTCCTCCCAGGAGGCCTTTGGGCCTCCGCGCCACTGCAAGAGTGATGCTCTTACTGACAAGTTCCCGTAGCGTCTCTTGCTCGTTGGCTGGCACAGTTGACTGGTAATCTGCCTCCTTTTCCCTTGCTTCGCCACTGTTCACTGCCCATGGCTACGTTCCCAGCGTCCTAGCCACTGGCTTCTGGGCCCTTTTGTGTTACCACTCATAGCATCCTTTCCCTGACTACACCTGGGTTTCTCAGTGTTCCCAAGGGAAGGACAGCACTAAGTGTTGTCCTAAGCACTGCTGGGAGTGCTGCCCCCACAAAGCTCCTGGCACTTGGCTGAGGCTCACTTTACAAAGCAGTCCATGCGATCAAGGCAAAAGGAGGAGCCGGCCTAGACAGGACATGCCGAACAGGGCTGCTGCATGCTCTGGGCTGCTAATACCTTCCACCACCGCGGTTGCCAGGACTGGGGAACAGTGTTGGTTCCCATGCTGTTTGTAGTGTGTAGCGACAACTTTTCCTGCCACTGCATATATATTACTAATAGAATGACTTTTAGAACTTAGCTTTGAATTCAACCTGCTAAACCTCTGGTTGAAATGACTGCAGCAGAATTAAGTGTTCTACTTTTGCTTCAATTCTGATTGCCATATACTTCAAATAGAACCAGGCTCAGTTTTCTCTCTGGCACAATGTAAATATTTTGACAGTAAATTGTAATGCTTTACCAATAGTGGAATGCTAGAACAGACTCTTGGTTTTAAGTATTAGCAGTAATTTCCAAAAAATGTACTTTTGAATCTTGAAAAAAATGGAAAAATTACTACTATTTTTCTATATCTCACTAAGAGATAATCAAAACATCTCACTTTTAGTCTCTATTTGTTTTTAAGATTTATTTATTTATTTGAAAGGCAGAGTTAACATAAAGAGGGAAACAGAGAGAGAGCTTCTACATGCTGGTTCATTGCCTAAATGGACACAATGGCCAGACTGGGCCAATCTGAAGCCAGAGGCTAGGGCTTCTTCCAGATCTCCCACATGGGTGCAGGGGCCCAAGCACTTGAGCCATCTTCCACTGCTTTCCCAGATGCATTAGATGGATTGGAAGTGGAGCAGTCAGGACGTGAACCAGCGCCCTTATGGGATGCTGGCACCACAGGTGGCGGCTTAACCTGCTTGGCCACAGCACCGCTCCACTTTTAGTCTCATGATACTCCTTTGCCTCCCAGATCAGGGTTCCAACACCAAGAGAATTAAGGCCATCACAGTGAATGTCAGAGTAGACTTTGTGTATGATATAAAAATTCCTTGGTTACATATCTATATTACAGAGCCAGATATTTATAATCAACCCCTAGGCATACAGAAAACACCCATTAACCATAATGTAGACATCAGAAACTTATTTGTACACTCAATGTTTCAGTAAAACTTGCAAAGGATTTTGAAGGTTATCTGTGTAGCCCCTTTTTCACCTAAGAAAATGGAGGCTCAGAGAGCTGGGGTAACTTGGTCAGGAACACTCAGCCTTGAGACCAGGAGAATCTGATTTTCTGACCTACGTCAGGACTACTTTATTTTTTACATCACATCCAAGAAAAGGAATGAATTATGTTCTTTTTTTTTTTTTTTTTGACAGGCAGAGTGGACAGTGAGAGAGACAGAGAGAAAGCTCTTCCCTTGCCGTTGGTTCCCCCTCCAATGGCTGCCGCGGCCGGTGCGCTGCGGCTGGTGCATTGCGCTGATCCGAAGCCAGGTGCCTCTCCTGGTCTCCCATGTGGGTGCAGGGCCCAAGCACTTGGGCCATCCTCCACTGCACTCCCTGGCCACAGCAGAGAGCTGGCCTGGAAGAGGGGCAACCGGGACAGAATCCAGCACCCCGACCGGGACTAGAACCCGGTGTGCCGGCGCCGCAAGGTGGAGGATTAGCCTATTGAGCCACGGCGCTGGCCTGAATTATGTTCAATTTTTAATATCTTCTAGTCCATTTTCTATTTATATGAATGGCTAGGGGTTATCTTGTGTGTCCTCCACACATACTTTTAGGCAGGATCACATTTGATGAATATTGGATGAGATGACAGGATGAATGAGAATTTAATACTTTTAAAAGTGGAGGGCATAAATGATTCTATAATTTTTTCAGTAAGTGGCAAAACTGTGTGTGACATTCCCACCCTGAAGCAAACCATTCCTGATCCTTGACCTTGATTTGCTTGGGTGTTTGCTATTAACACTGCTCCAGAAGGCACAGCCTCTTTGAAGGAACCATTAGTTGGGGTTCGTATAAAACCCTCAGGTCAAGACTTAAGCTGCAATTAAAACCATTAAACAGCTTCCCATGAGACACCCCATTGACATGGCAACAAAATTTATCTGGTTCCAAATATTTCAATAATGAAGAGAATTTTCTGTGTACTTACAGGCAGAGAAATTTTGAGAGAACAAAGTAAACATATCTGTACTAGTCACAAAGGAAAAAAGGAATGTGGTATTTTTTGCTTCAGATTCTAAGTGTTTGAGATGTTGCTCCAAGAAAAATGACCCTGCACACATTTGCAGGATGAGAAGCTGTTAGAATTCTTCCTCTGAGGCATGTGACTTATTTACTGAGAGCATGATCACCTCATTTTCTCAGAGAGCCAAAGACCTATTTCCTCCTGTCCCCAAATGCAAAGACTGCAGGACCGGTATCCACCGGTAGTCCATCAATACAAGAATGTCATTGGATATATTTTACAAACTGGTTCTGAAGGCTTTCAACAAAAGCCAAATACTGTGACACTTCTCTCCTTAAAAAGCAAGGGAGAAGACAGGGGAGAAGTGGGAACCTGGAATGAGAGAGAAAGACAAAGGGCTTCTTGGTGCTCCCTGCTTAATGCTAGTGAGACATTAGCTACTTTGTTGACCCTGGGTGTTTTGATAGATGCAAAGCCGTAATTGTGATATTTTATTTGGATATGTATTGGCCGTTGCATCCACTGACTGAAAGAAGCAGAATACCTGTGCCCTGGAGGAAGATGCCTCTTTCTAAGCCCTGGCATTTATCTTCTGCTCTGAAACAGCCTGCTCCATCTTGTCATTGTTGATTTTAGTGGGAAAGAAAGGACTTTTCTATTCACGGTGCCTTGTCCTCATGCAGGTCTTTACGTGATATAATCCGAGATAGCCTCACCTGTGTGACATGCACAAGGCTCAGTGTGATGGGCACTTCCAGGTGATTTACTGTACCTTGGTACACAGAGTCCCTTTAGGGAGCCCGTGCCTGTGTAAAGCTGTTTGTTCTTGTAATAAACGCAGTTGACGCGCACACTAACCTGTGTTACAGCATGGAGTGTTTTACTGATGTTAACTGAAGCTGTGCTGAAAATAATGTGATGCACATAACTTAGAGGTAGTTTACTTTCAATGTTATATTCTTTATTATGGTGGTCATTGTCTCTACACTGTTCAGTGAAGCCAGCTTTTGGTCCACATTTAAGTTAGTTGTGTTGCACTGTCATGTATGTTATATGCTCCTGGAAAATAAAAGTACAGCTCTTTTCTTTAACCAGGCTAAAATATAACTTTCTCTGCTAAAGCCAGCTCTTTGTTGACTCAGTTTCCAAATAATCTTCAGCTTTGAAATGAATCCCAAATTTTAGAAACCAGAACAAAATGAAAAGAATGAATCAATAGCTTTCATCCCAGGCTGCAAAAAGTAATATATATGTGGTGGTAGACCAGGCGTGGATGTAATGGGCCTGACTCTCTGAGGGAGAGAAAATTCTGTAAATATTTTTGATGAAGTCCATTAACTGTTTAAGTTCACTATCCTAGTAAGTGGTGATCTCATATTACAAAAAACCAATACCTTAACTCTGAGCCATTTATTTCCTTTTTACCGATAGGATCTGGCTCGTGATGATTCCAATAATTAGAGCCAAGAACGCTAGAGACCTTGTTTTCAAAGTTCTGTCTCTGTACATGTTCTGTTTTATGCTTCCTTACTAATTTAAAATTACATATGCATTTTTTGTTATTTTAAGGCACTCAACCAGAATGCTGAACTAAGGAGTCGCTTGAACAGAATACATTCAGAGTCTATTATTTGTGATCAGGTTGTCAGTGTAAATATTATTCCTAGCCCTGATGAGGTAAGACTCATTTTTAACCGAGGTAGAGTACCTATCTTATAGCATATAAATCTCCTGTATATTTTTATTTATTTTTATATAGTTCTTTTGCCATTAATAAGATTCCCTCCATAAATATTTGTGTGGCTGACAGCCCCCTGTTCTTTGGAGTAAAGGATGTTCATGAGCTTGACAAAACTTATTCTTGGTGATCATTGTCTATATTTATATATCCTTGTGCCCCTGAATATTTAGTTTATATCCCTATTCCAGCTTGTTAATTATCTGGGTCTGTCTCATTCTTCGTTTGAAATGTTCACTATCACCACATGACCAACAAAATGCTGAAAATGACATTGAGAGATGAGAACTTGCTAAATAAAAAATGTTCTTAAGGTTTGTTTTGAAAGCCCTAGTGAGAGAAGTTGCCTAACCTGCTACGGTAATACTAACGTTGCCACAGCTACTGCTGATGATGATAATTAATACTTAACATGTGTCAAGTGAATGTTTACTGTGTGCTAGGCATTGTGCTAACCATTCTGCCTTGCTATCTTATTTGACATTCTCAACTACCCTCTGAAATTGGTGCTATTATTATTTTTTCAGGTTGAAGAAATGGTGAGAAAATAGGAAGACATTAGTATTAAGGCTAAACTTAAGTGTGTAATTCCATTTATTATCTTTGTAAAATTATTCTTTGATAGCCTAGGACTTTATAGGTAGTGATTCATGAACAAGGTGAGAGTTTTAACTAATTCTAAGATCATACTTGCTTCAAGAATATATATTTTATTAGAAATCTTCAAGTGTAAAGATTCTACCATCCAACTGCTTAGAAAATATTACCCTAAGACAGCTTGTCTTAAGTTGCTCACCCTACGGTCCATTCGTCTTCATGGGCTCCCTGATCTCTGACAACACTTAAATTCAGCAACTGCCTAGAAATATGGTTTTGAGAAGTACTTCTAATATTTATTGGTTGAAAGTTATTTAATAATCTTCAACTAGCTTCCTTGAAAACCATATTCATCACTGTGAATAAAAATCAAATTTGAAATAACATTCAGTTCTCTAATCATACATTTCACTGGCTAAACTCAGTGATACAGTTGAAAATAATGGTTATATATTATCTCAAAAATTAGTTTCATAGTTTATTCTCTAGTAATGTCTCCAACTATTTCTGAAGATTTAATATACTGGTTATGATATGACTAGTAATGATGGACCTACAAATAAGAAAATAAACTTGTCTCTAAAATTAACTCAGGGCATTAATAGGAGATTGACCTGTTAAATTCCACTTAGTATCATTTGAATATAGATTTAAATTCAAGTGATGGTACCAGTCATGTCCCTGAGAGGAAACTTATACAGTGGTTATTACTGAGTTGCAAAAGAAAACTACTTGTAATCACTACTCTTTTAATAAATGGAATGGATTTCTATAGAAATCTGGTTAATTTGAAGGAATAGCTACTCTAACAACTGTACCATATGCTTCTGTCTTCTGTAGGGTGGTGAGCAAATCCATGTCAGTCTCCCTCTGTCACAGCAAGTAGCCAATGAGAGCCGCCTCTCCATGTCGGAGTCTGTGTCTGAGTTCTTTGATGCGCAAGAGGTGCTCCTCTCTGCCAGTTCATCAGAGAATGAGGTAAGGCCCCAGAGCATACCAGCCTCACTGCTTGTGTCAGGGAGTTTCTGTTAAAGAAAGCAACACTGTGAACTTTCTGATGGCTGTTTTTGTTTGTTTGCATCCTAATAGGATGCTGAAATTGCAGCAGAGACCAAAGCATGCCAATTATATCGGTTCCCATTTACTGAGTAGTTAACACTGTAGATGGCGACTTCTCACTCGTAGAGTTAATAGAGTCAAACATTTATTCTGACTTTCTTCTGCAATTCACATTTCAGGGAAACCAAACAGTTGATGACAGAAGAAGTCTCTCTAATAAATGAGGAAAGAATGAGGGAATTAGAAAATCATTTTACACACACAGATACACATATACATCTCATTTTTTCTATATACCTGTATATAGCCAGAGGCAGGAATTGAGCTACTTGTAAAAAAAAAAAAAAAAAGAAATAGTTGCTAGATGTTATTCCCATATGCATAGAAAATAGATAATAGAAAATAGTTGTCTTGGGATGTTTGGAATTATGAATGATTTTAGAAACAAAAATAATATGGAAAAGAGAAAAATTATAAACACATAATACTTTTATAATGAGGAAAAAGTACTACAGAATTCTTAGAGTAGTACTGAATTTGTCAGCCTACCAAGGATGTACCTGCCTCTCAGATCCCAAGGCAAGCATTAATAGATTTGTAGAGACTTTCATTCACAAGCCAGAGTGTTAGCTTAATTATTTTCATGGCAATTGATACTATCAGATGGACGGCTGATCAAACTTGCTGGTTCTTGCCTCTTTCCCAGTAGGCAAATTTGCATGACAAGGCTAGTTCTAGTCAGGAGGTTGCTTGCTGAGCACAGACTAGGAGCAGGAGTAGTGAGTAGCGTGTGCTTAACGGTAGGAGAGCAGAGGTATCATAGCTCCACTCTCTCTCATGATGATGGCATTCTGCCACATGTGCTTGCGGTCACACCCCCAGAGACTGCTATGCTAGAGATGTGCTGCCAAGAATTTCCTTCACCCTCCTTCAGTCAGACTTGACTGCACATTATCTGAGCTCTGACTTACCAGCTGATGACTTTTTAACTTATCTCTCCAAGAGCAATCTTATTTCCTTATTTCCAAGTTCTTGAACCCTAACTGGGTGCACAGGTACCATTTGCCTTTGACACTGGGGCTACAGAAATGAGGAGGATGGGAGGTGAGTTATTGCATAAGTCCAAGCCAGATGATGGTGCAGCATCCTGGAGGAGGAATGAGTTTAACAGCAGAGAGAGGAAATGTTCACTTTGAGCAGCATGAGTTTGTCAGACCTGTCAGTAGAGTTGTCTGTTGGACAATCGGATGCTCGAGGCCAAAGCTCAAGGACAGAACAGGTCTGGGAGAGAGTCAGCACACAATGCGTACAAGAAGCCTTTTCCTAGGTGCTCATAGAATCCCTGGTTCAGCAGGTCCAAAAAGGAAGTCGTTGGGAGCGGGCATTCAGCCTAGCAGTTCAGATGTCCACCTCCCACATCAGAGTGCCTGGCTCTGGTCCCTAACTCAGGTTTCCTGCTAATGCAGACCCCGGGAGGCCGCAGTGATGGCTCAAGTAATTGGGTTCCTGCCACCTGCACAGGAGACCTGAATGTGTTCTCAGCTCCCAGCCACTGCACGCATTTGGGGAGTGAAACAATAGATCTCTCTCTCTCTCTTTCTCTCTTTCTGTGTGTGTGTGTGTGTGTGTGTGTGTGTTTCTGTTTCTCTGTGTCTCAAATAAATAAATAAAAATTTTTGAAAAAAGAATTAACACACCCTTGCCACACACCACCAGCACCGCCCTACCCTAGGGGTACAGACAACCCCACACAGCAGCCTCTGCATACCTGTCATATTGCCTATGAGCCTTCCTGCCCAAGCATTCACATCCAATACCTGGAGAGAATGGGCTCATCAGGTTCTGTAGCGTCTATCACCTGCCTGTGCTCAGATCCATATTTTCTCACAGTTTCCTTGCCACTGCTTCATTCTCATCTAACATTTTCTCCACACTTAATTACCACAGCAGTCCCATAATTGGTACCCCTGCCTCCCTCCTTGCCCTCTCTGCTCCATTTCCTACTGGGAAACCTGATTAATCATTCTAAAAGGCAAATCTAGTCATGTCCCTATTCCCCAGGGTCCTTAGGATAGCAATCTGAACTCCTTAGCTATTACATGGGCCCTTAGAATCTGATCCCTGCTCTCAGCAGCCGCAGGTCACCTCTCTTCCTGGAACCTGCCAACAGCCGAAGGAGGGATGCCTTGTGTTCCTTGCCATAGCAAGGACCATGACTCCTTCCTGCAGCTCACATTAGAAGTAACTCCACACCTAGTCCTTGTGCACTGTATCTTACAGGTTGTTATAAAATCAGTGTTTATTGACAACTTTGCTTTTACTCAACACTCAGTCTTAGGTATTTGCAGGGACTGGACCAGGAGATAAACTCCAGTGATGGGAACCATGAGCTCTCACAGTTACTTTTCCTCTTCAGCTATGGCCTGATGGCTGGAGCAAGCCCATCTTCCCTAGTGTCTAGGCTCCCATGTGAGGAGGTCCCCCGAGTCTTAACACTAACACACTTGGCAGGCCCAGCTGGTGAGCTTGCCCTGTGTGTGTGAATCCTACCAGCAGCTCCAGGGGAGGCTCGGGCTGCATGTTCTGCACTGCAGATGCCCCAGGCAATTGGTCCATGCACTTGCCTGGCTGGAGCGCTTCTCCCAGGGCTGTGCACCTGCAGCTGTCACTCGCATCAGTCCCTTGCTCAGAAGTCACCTGCAGGGAAGTCTGTGCTGGCTGCCCTCTCTCCTCTGTCCTGTTCTCTCCTTCTTCCCTCATGATTTTTTTCCATTCACATTTATCACTATCTAACAAAATACATAACCCATCTACTTGCCATGTTTGTTGTATGTCTCCCACACCAGAATGTAGGTTCCACAAAGGCTGAGATTTTGCCACTGTCATATAAGCCCCTTGAGTGTTTGTTGTACTTGTGCTAAGTATGTTTCCCATTATGACCTCTGCTTGAATTTATTTGTGTTTTCAATTTGTTTGAGAGATGCTGAGAAAGAAAGAGATTGATTGATTGATTGATTGATTGATTCCATTCACTGGTTCACTCCCCAAATGCCTACAAGAGCTAGAGGACCAAAGCCAGAAGGCTAAAAACCAGGAACTAGGAATTCACTCTGTGTATCCCTCGGTTACTTGAGCCATTACTGCTGCCTCACAGAACAGTATGGAAGTTCCTCAAGCAACTAAAAATAGAACTGCCCTATGATCCAGCAATCCCGCTTCTGGGCATATGTCCAAAGGAAATGAAATCTCTCTGTTGAAAAGACATCTGTACTCCCCTGTTTATTGCAGCACAATTCATAATAGCCAGGAAATGGAAACAACCTAAGTGTCCATCAACTGATGAATGGATAAAGAAAATGTAGTACGTATACATGATGAAAATTACTCAGCCATAAAAAAGGATGGATTTGCAACATGGATGGAACTGGAGATCAGTATGTTAAGTGAAATAAGACAAGCACAGAAAGACATGTAACATGTGAACTCACTCACATGTGGAGTCTAAAAAAAATAGGTGATCTAATAGAGGTTAAAAATGTAATTGTGGTTACCAGAGGCTGGGGAGGGAAGTGGAGAGGGAGAGATTGGGGAAGGTTGATTGATGACTACTAGTTAGAACCAGATAGGAATAAGAAGTACTGAGATTCTATTTGAGCAGTAAGGTGAAGATGGATAATGCTTGTTTACTACATATTTATTTTAATAAAAATAGGAAATAGATTTTTAGATATTTTTACCATTAAGAAATGTTAAATGCTTGAAGGTATACATATATTTACCTGACTGGACAGTACATGGTACAAACATGTAATGGAACATCTCATGGTATCCCATGAATATGTACAGTTTCGTATGTCTAATTCTTTTAATAAAAAACTTTTCAGAAAAGGAAGCTAGAATTTTGTGTGGAACCAGGACTTCAAGCCATATGGGAGGCAAGCATCTTAACTACTATCCCAAACACTGGCCCATGGTTTTGTTATTCTCCATCATTGCATTGTGTGAGCTTTCAGGATTGAACAGCAATTCTGATCCTGTCTGTGTCCTTCCCTTCCTCAGGCTTCCGATGATGAGTCTTACATCAGTGACGTGAGTGATAACATCTCTGAAGACAACACCAGTGTCGCGGACAATATTTCTCGGCAAAGTATGCATCATTTGAGCTTCCAGGTTGTCCTATCTCAATGCCAAATTACAACACTGGTGATGTCATGAGCAGTCATCCCCCTGCCCCTTACTAATTATTCTTTTTTGCAACTGATGGTTCAATAAATTTTGTTTTGCCTTCTCTGTTGAGATAAATTGTTGCAGAAATTTATTTGGGATATTTTTCAATGAAAAAGTGTTACCTCCTCCTCAAACCAAAAGTTTGTGTCCTTCTTACAAAATACATACATACATACATATATATATATATATACACACTTTTTAAAAAAAATTATCTTCTATTTTCTTAAATAATATTTGAATGTATTTAATACCTTGTTCAAAAACCTAGATGGTGATGTTTTGTGCATTTGTTAGAAAACAGCCTTGTATTGAAGTTAGTCCATCAGGGAGACTAGACGAAGCTTCTAGAAATATATTGCAATGAGAATTATTTGCAGGAGTTATTTCTCTCCTTGATTTTGTGAAATCAGAATAACAAAATCGCTGTCTTCGTGATTCTCCCTCTTCCAGTCCTGAATGGGGAGCTGACAGGAGGGGCTTTCCGAAACGGACGTCGCACGTGCCTGCCAGCTCCGTGTCCTGACACTAGTAACATTAACCTGTGGAATATCTTGAGGAACAACATTGGTAAAGACCTGTCTAAAGTCTCTATGCCTGTGGAGCTCAACGAGCCGCTCAACACCCTGCAGCATCTGTGTGAGGAGATTGAGTACAGCGAGCTTCTGGACAAGGCGTCGGAAACGGATGACCCGTATGAGCGCATGGTAACACATACCAGAGCTGTGCCTCTGGGGTTGTCTGGCCCGAGAGTGGGCTGAGCCAGATCCGTTAACGATGATACATTTGGGTTTTGCATTGCATTCTTCCTGCATAGGTAAGAGAGGAACTGGTCTGTTGGCATAAATCAACAGCACCGGAAAGTCCCAGACATCTTTACTGGAAGATACCCATTTTGTGATTTGTGCAGAGTCTCTGTAGTTAGGATAGAAAAATATTGTGCTCCTTAGAAGTTCAAAGTATGCCTCACCTCACTTTATCAGCTTTTCCTGAATGTCAGGATAGCCCATCTGTTCAGGAATACAGTCTGTCACTCTTTGCCCTTTACTCCATATGACTGGACAGCATGCCCCTCCCTCTGAAAAGCACTGGCAGCCTGTGTCCTCGCCCCATGGCGCTAAGATTGTGCACATGACACAGCCTATAAACTCAGAGCCTTTGGACTCAGAACTCGGAACCTTTGATGCTCATGAAATCGCGTGCACTTACAGGTGAAGAGCACTTGACCTCAGTGACCTGCTGCTCCCCTTGCAAATAGTTGAGCCTCATTTTGACTTGTTTTTTTTTCCCCCATGTGTTGATGACAATTCTGTGCAAATAAGTTAATGCGGTTGCCAGCAAATACCCACCACCACGGGTGTGTGAAATCCAGAGGAATAGGGACAAACAGCCTGGCAGAAGACTTTCCTATATTTCTCTCCTTTCTTCAATGTTTTAACAGGTTCTCGTTGCTGCATTTGCAGTTTCAGGATACTGCTCCACCTATTTCAGAGCAGGAAGTAAGCCATTCAACCCAGTCCTCGGGGAGACTTATGAGTGCATTAGGGAAGACAAGGGATTCCGATTTTTCTCAGAACAGGCAAGTGCCGCGGGACTCAGGGCAGTTTGATGCTGAAAACAGCTTTTTGGTGTCTATTTGGGAAGAGTTATGAGGGCAGTAAAGAGAAAACTCACTGAACTTATCAGCTTCATCCCCCCCCCACAATGTGTATAGGTTCTCTGTGCTCAAGCATGAAATCCTTGTTTACTAGAGTAGGCATTTACCCTAGTGGTTAAGATGCCAATGTTCTACCTCAGGGGACTGGCATATCATCCCAGCTCTGGCTCCCGACTCCAGCTTCCTACCAGTGCAGACCCTGGGAGGCAGCAGTGATGGCCCAAGGAACTGGGTTCCTGCCACTCATGTGGGAGACCTGGCTGTGGCCCCAACCCACCCCCAATCATTGCAGGCATTGGGGGGGCAAACCAGCAGATGGGAGTTCTCTGTATATATCTTGTCTCTATACCTCTCTTTCTGTGTCTCCTCAAGTGCTCAAGTGTGTGTGTGTGTGTGTGTGTGTGTGTGTGTGTGTGTGTGTTTCTCGGCATCTCAAATATATAAATGATTCTTAAAATGTATTTGAAAAGCGGAGAGAAAGAGACTGAGAACACGGATCTCTCTTTCACTGCTTTGCTCCCCAAATGCTGCAACAGCCAGGGCTGGGCCAAGCCAAAGGCAAGAGCCAGGAACTCAGTGCAGGCAGAGTCCCAAGCACTCGACCACCCACTGAAGCCTCTCAGGGTGTGCACTAGCAGGTATCGGAGCCAGAACTGAAACCCAGGCACCCCTACATGGGATTTGGGCATCCCAATTTGTGTCCCAACTGCTGTGCCAAATGCCTACCCCTAAATGATCATTTGAAGTTAAAATATTTACTTATACATCAGAGTTACTCATTAGTAGAAATTAATGAATTATAGTTTGTATTTGTTTGCATTGTAAAAAATGGTTGTCTCTAGAAGTTTTAACAGAGATATTGCCTTCTTTCTGGTTTTTAATCACCAGGTTAGCCATCATCCACCCATTTCTGCCTGTCACTGTGAATCAAAGAATTTTGTGTTTTGGCAAGGTTTGTATTTTCACTTATAATCTAAAATCAAATGTATGAGCCTGTGGAAAACGTTACTGCTTCCATAGAAGGTGCATCACACTTGGTTTCAGTTTCCACCTTTGGAACTTAGAGAATGTTGCTAATTCACGTAGAGCTCAGATTGAGAAATTAAATTTCTTTTTTTTTTTAAGATTTTATTTATTTGAGAGGCAGAGTTACAGAGAGACAAACAGAGACAGAGAGAAAGGTTTTCCATCCATTGGTTCACTCCCAAATGGCCGCAACAGCCGGAGCTGAGCCAATCCAAAACCAGGAACCAAGAGCCCCTTCTGGAGCTCCTACGTGGTGCCGGGGCCCCAGCACTTGGGCCATCCTCCACTGCTTTTCCAGGCTACAGCAGAAAGCCAGATCAGAAGAGGAACATGGCGCCGCCACAGCTCAATAGGCTAATCCTCCGCCTGTGGCACCGGCACACCAGGTTCTAGTCCCAGTCGGAGCGCCAGATTCTGTCCCGGTTGCTCCTCTTCCAGGCCAGCTCTCTGCTGTGGCCTGGGAGTGCAGTGGAGGATGGCCCAAGTCCTTGGGCCCTGTACCCGTCTCTCTGGGAGACCAGGAGAAGCACCTGGCTCCTGGCTTCAGATCAGCGCGGTGCGCTGGCCGCAGCGGCCATTGGAGGGTGAACCAATGGAAAAGGAAGACCTTTCTCTCTGTCTCTCCCTCTGAACCAAGACCTTTCTCTTTGTCTCTCTCACTGTCCACTCTGCCTATCAAAAAAAGAAAAAAGAAAAAAAAAAAGAAGAAGTAGAAGAGGAACAGCCAGGACTGTGGAGGAGGTTTAGCCTACTACGCCACAACACCGCCTGGGAAATTAAATTCCTGGTTTAAATATGAACTGGTGTCGACTAGGAGATGAGACTGTGTGTGTGAACAGCACAGCCTGGGAAGCAGCGCAGCTTCATGCCGCTGTGCCAGCTCCAAGCCACTGCTGGCTCCTGTGTACCTCCTCCCCTGCCTCTGTCACATGCAGATGGCGCTGCTGGCTTCTTACCTGTTTGGGGTTTGCTGAGAAATTTTCACCCTGAAGGCAGGCTCTGTGATGCTAATCCGTGGTCAAAATCTATGTGGATATATAAGGGGTCTTCAGAAACTTGCTGGAAATACATATTATGAAAAAATATGCTTGGATCCCTTTTTTAAAACATTTTGCTTCTATGGGGGCTAGCATTTTTGCACAGCTGGTTAAGCTGCCAGCATCCCATATCAGAGTGCTGGTTCAAATCCCAGCTGTTCTACTTCCAGTCAAGCTCCTGCTTATACACCTAGGAAGTCAGCAGAAGCCCATGTGGGAGACCATGGCAAAGTTCTTAGCTCCTTGCTTCAGCCTGGCTCAACCCTGGCTGTTGCAGCCATTTGGGGAGTAAGCCAATGGTTGGAAGATTCTCTCTCTCTCTCTCTCTCTCTCTGACTCTGTCTCTCTCTGCCTCTCTTTCTCTCTGTTTCCCTTTTTCTTCCCTTCCTCCTTCCTTCTCTGTATGTAGCTCTGCCTTTCAAATAAATAAATAAATCATTTTTAAAAGGTTTTCCTTGTACATATTTAGGAATACCATGTGAGTTCACGAGATATATTCAGTGTGTGCTAATCAGATCAGGACAATGAACATTTCCTCCTCTTGATACTACTTCATGTTTGAAGTCTCTGAACTCCTCCAAAAGTTTTTACACCCAAATAAACTTCCATTTTAGTTCCATTTCCTATGAACATTTTGAAGCGCCCTTGTATACACTTGCAGTAATTCCTGGTATTTAACTCTCTGGGACTCAGGGGTGTGAACTGAAGTCTCAAACATATTTGCAGTCAGAATGTTGCACACCTGCCTAACACAAAACGTTCTGCACCATCTTTAGGAAAAGAAAGGCTGTGTCTGTAAATCTGACCAGTAAGTTAACTAGGTCCTTCCTGTTACACTGCTCCACTGCTCCCAGGAGGGCTCTCCTCGTCAGCATTTCCTTAACCTGAAAACACACGGTATGATGAAGCGCTGGAAGGTACTGTGTTTCAGAACAAGACACTCAATCATTCCTTGCTTACAACCAAGAGACAGAAATCGAGTGGTGATTGCACTAAGCTCCCTTAGTTCATCAAAGTGGGACCATGTGGTTATTACAGATACACAAGTAAATCAGAAAGCCATCATGTGCGATAAAGTGCGGAGCCCCAGGCTCTGTCTTAGCAACCAGTGTAGGAACCTGTTCATTAAGTTAATCCCACCGTCTTATAAATCTTCTGTCTCTGTAGTTAGAGGTTTTATTTTATTTTTTCAGCTGTTCTCCCCAAATCATATCACTCTTCAGGGTACTTCAAAAAGTTCATGGAAAATGGAACTAAAATATGTTTTTGGTGTAAAAAATTTTGGAATCTAGGCATAGTTTTTTCCATTAATATGCACTTTTTGTGATCTTTTCAAATTCCTCTCATATGCATGGATTTCAAAAATTTTTTGCACCAAAATAAACTTACCTTCTAGTTTTGTTTTCTATGAACTTTTTGAAGTACCATATGGGAGGTGTGGGGGTGGGATATATATATATATATATATATATGTACACACATACACACACACACATATATATATATAAATCAATGGTATTGAAAAAAGTATTTTTACTGTACACCTCACACTTGATATTTATGTTAACTTTTTTTACCATCTGGTTAAAACAAACAACAGCATCTATTACCATTGGATATCAAATGACAGTAAAGTCTTGTTTATATGTTTATGTGATGAAACACACACACACACACACCCCTATGTGCATGCGTGCACATTTGTTACTCCAGGATCATCCTAGTTTTGTTGGTTTCAAACAAATATGGAGAAACACAGATGGTAGGAGTTTTGTGGGTTTTTTTTTCCTTTTTTTGGTTCACAGCTAGTAGTTTCACCCTGGGCCATCTTCAGGCACTTGTCATGTTAAATCAACAATACAGAACCAATTGTGGTTACAGAAGTGGTTTGTAAAGTGTCACACAGATGTTAGATTTTACAGAACAAATGATCAGCTGCGCAGTGTGTATTTCCTGTCCTCTGCCTGTGTCGTCTAGATATCAGATGGAAGAACAAGTTCTGGGGAAAGTCGATGGAAATCCTGCCTGTGGGGACGCTCAATGTTATGCTCCCAAAGTAGGTCGCTCACCTCTTCCTTGGGGTCTTTTTCTACTTTCTGGATCAGAAGTGGGTGTTGTAAACTCTGGAAGATGCCAAGGGTCCATTTCCCTGTGTGCAGGGACCTCCTGTTACCTTGAGAATGGACTCCCACAAAAACAAATGAGAAGTTCCGCCAATGTGTCAAAGCTTCCCACTTACCTCTTCAGATCCTCCATTCATCACTCAACACTGGGCAGCTACTGTGTCCTGACAGCATTTGCGGGTAGATTAAATATCGGGGAAAATTAGCCCAGGAGGTAGACCCCCATTCTCCAGAATAAACTTTCAGTATTCAGCATATCACAGGGAAGAGTTGTCCTAGCTGGAGATAATGCCTCAGTCATAACAGTTTGTAATTTTTTTAGAAATAGGCACTTCATTTTGAAAGTATTTTATTTGCAAATACACTTTAAAGTGCAAGTTAATTGTGACTTGAAGTAATGTCATTTCCTCCTTTAGAAAAATCCTGTAATGTTACTCCCAAGAGTTCGCATTTGATTTCCACCATTCTAGTTATGCTTATCAGCCTATTAGCAGATGGTTATACACATCTTTGGTCTTCACTTGGATTATGAAACAGTGTTCTCAGAGCGATGTTTTGTAAATGCCTGTCTCCTACCTTGAATTCTTCCTCAGTGGTCACCGCCTGCAGGGTGAATCCGAACTCCTGGGCTATCACTGCAGGCCTTCCCAGCCTTGCTCCTCAGCAGGGCCGCTTCCCTCACAGGCCCCGGATGTGCCAAACTCTGCTGGCCCCTGCAGCTTTGTCAGTGCTTTCGCTCAGCCCAGAGAGCCCACCTACTCATCATCCATGCTTAGAGCCGACCCAGGCTCCTCTAAGACTCTGCCTCAACTCCCACTCCGCAGTCCAGGGAGGTCCAAGGACTAAGGACTCTCCCTGCTGTGTTCCCATGGTGCTTTGTTTTTACATCTATTGCAGTTCCCTTATTTTAAGTATTTGTTTACATATCCATCTACTTCTACCATTTTTCTGGCTCCAAAAACACAGGAAACAGGCCCTATTGAACTCTGTACCTTTAGCCACTGTCCCAGGGGAAGCACTTAAATACTCCTTGATGAATCATGTTGTAAATATTTATGACCACATGGAAACTTTCAAGAAAGAAGTGAGAGAAAGTTGAGGGGAACACAAGCTTCCACCCAGGGATATTCTCATTAATAGAAACTGTAACATGCATTTGTGACCTCTGTTGTTTTGTAATCAGTATTATATTCCTGACTAGGTATGGAGACTACTATGTGTGGAATAAAGTCACCACCTGTATACACAACATCCTCAGTGGGAGAAGATGGATAGAACATTATGGAGAAATAACCATTAGAAATACCAAAAGCAGTGTTTGCATTTGCAAGCTGACATTTGTCAAGGTAAATAATAGCACTGAACAGAAAAGGAAAAATAGTGCACAGTGCTTCCTAGGGAAGAAATAGAACAATTACCTTGAACAGCAGCAAGTCACGCTTCCCTGTGTCATTGGTCCTCAAGGACGTTGTAGGTAAGAAAACAGGACCCGCCTATGGACTTGCTCAAGGCATAAAGATTTCTGAACATGTGAAGGTCAAAAAAGGCCTCATTTCAGAACACACAGAAAGTGCTTTTCTTTCTAAAGGATTTTCTTTTTAAGCATCCAGTCAATAGTTACTATTCCAAGTCTTCTGGTTTATATTTCTATTTGTGCTCTGTTTGATTACAGCATATTCAAATGATCCTATTTTAGGGAATTAATTACAGTGCAGTTGTCATTATTTGTGGGTATTTGAATAGAACAGCCATGTAGATGATGGCTACCAATCACTCCATATTTATCCAACCCTGCCACTATTGTAATCCAGATGAGTTGAACAAAAGCATTTCCTTTATTGTCAAGAAAAATGTTTAAAATAGCAATGCACGCAGAACTTTCCCTCAGTCTCCCTGGCCTGCAGTAGAACACACCGTAGTACCTCTGTGTGTGTTCAGGGTGTGCTATAGAATTCACGAAGCACACATTCCCAACTGCCCCCTTTGTCTGTTCTACTGATGACTGTATTCTAACATGGCAAACAGGTAGCATTTTGGGAGTCTTAAAACTGTAATATTTTGGGGCCAGCATTGAAATGCAAAGGGTTAAACTGCTGCTTGCAATGCTGGCATCAGAGCGCTAGTTGAAATCCTGGCTGCTCCGCTTCCAGTTCAGCTACCTGGGAAGACAATGGACAATAGCCAAAGCACTTGGGCCCCTGCCACCCATATAGGAGACCACGATGGAGCTCCTGGCTCCTGGCCCCGGCCTGGCCCAGCCCCAGCTGTTGCAGCTATCTGGGGAAGTGAACCGGTATATGCAGAAGCTCTCTTTCTATCTGTCTCTCCATGTCCAGTATTTTCATTTCTTATTTAACCCCTTTTAAGCCATATTGGAAGGTCATGTTCAGTTTGATTTAGTATCTTTATTTTACCTGAAGATGATTCTCGCTGTTTTTTTCTTACAGACTCCTGGGACAGCTAGCACAGAGCTGGAAGGTTATTTGCTCTGACTGGGAGATGTGGCACATTAGAATTCCTTATGCCAATGGCTCTAAGCTCTTCTACAGTGGCATAGGCCTTTTCCACTCACCAAGATTGTCCTTTCAGGTCCGGAGGATGGCCTAGGGTGATTGTTGGGAGGCGTGGACAGAGCTCACATAAAGGAATTCTAATGTGCCACATACTTGGGGCCTGATCTGAAAGGGGAGACGTGGGGTCCAGGCAGGCAGATTCCCATGGACTTGTCAACCATAGGGAGGATCATGGCTGGAACAGGGCCACATCAGGGGCCCCATGCTAACACGGAGCCATTTACAGATGCTGCGGAAATTAGTCCATAGGCTATTTCTGCAGCATGGCCAATTGAGATTCATGAAAATCCACGAACCAGGGGAAGATTGGAGATGAGGATCTGAGGGAACAAAAGAAATAGCGACCTTTAAATTACCGTCAGTGCCTTAGAATAGCAAGCAAACCTCCAGGGCACAGACTGGAGAACCTCCGCAGTCCTTATCGAATGTTCCAGGGTAGATTTCTGGAAATGATCAGGATGAGGGACTTGAAGAGAACTTCTCCTATGGAGATCACAGGGCTCTGTGTTATTGAAGCCATGGGGTATCTCACTGCAGTGGGACTTTTCCAGGTGAATTACTGGAATTCTAACGTGAATGAAGTCCAGGGAGTTGTGATGGACCAGGAGGGGAAGGTGGTGCACCGGCTGTTTGGGAAGTGGCATGAAGGGCTGTACTGCGGCGTGGCCCCCTCTGCCAAGTGCATCTGGAGACCAGGTGAGAGCGGCCCGGGCGTCCTAGGGCAGAAAGGAAGGGAATGTCGGTGCGTGCAATTTAACATGTGTTTCTGTCGATAATGACATTAAAAGCACAGGTGCTTAAGGCAATTTTAGTTGATAATTTATACCTGATATATATGCTATATACTCTTATAAATCCCAGTATTTGATAGCTGAAAATTTAAAAATGTAATTCAAATCTCTGACATGTGGTCAGAAATTGGGCTTTTGAAAAGATACTACTCTATGGCCGGCGCCGCGGCTCACTAGGCTAATCCTCCACCTTGCGGCGCCGGCACACCGGGTTCTAGTCCCAACGGGGCGCTGGATTCTGTCCCGGTTGCCTCTCTTCCAGGCCAGCTCTCTGCTGTGGCCGGGGAGTGCAGTGGAGGATGGCCCAAGTGCTTGGGCCCTGCACCCCATGGGAGACCAGGATAAGCACCTGGCTCCTGGCTTCGGATCAGTGCGGTGCACCAGCCGTGGCGGCCATTGGAGGGTGAACCAACGGCAAAGGAAGACCTTTCTCTCTGTCTCTGTCTCTCTCTCTCACTGTCCACTCTGCCTGTAAAAAAAAAAAAAAAAAAAAAAACTCTAAATGCATGCCTACATTTCAAAAACTAGGTACATGTATTAAACACTTTAGATCATTGAAATAAACAAATGTAAATTCTTCCTCCTGTTATTTAGTCTCTGTTTTAATAACAAAGTAAAGCCTATAAAACATCTGTAATCCACAAATTCAGTGACTCACCAGAACATGGGCTCTTTTCACTTACACAGCCAAAAGCTGCAAAATGTTAATTTCATAGAAGATATCAAGGGAGGTCTGCTAATATATTGAGTTCTGAGTATAAATGGAACCAGTTTCCACATGACATTTATGTTCAGTGCAATTTTGCTAGTTGATCTTTAACTTTAAAATTAGTTGTTGGTTGTCTAAGAGACGTCAATGAGTACTTAAATTTTGCACTGGCAGGGTGACTAGTTCATCCATCCAGCAGCTGTTTATTGAGTACTACTGCATCAGAATCTGTTCTAGGAGCTTGGGTACTTCAATGAGCAAAGCATGCCTTTGAATTTCACTAGAAGGGGCCAATAAATGTTAATTTGAATGTGCGAATGTGTGTCTTTTTCTTTTCTAAAAGGAATAAGTTTCTGGTAAAATATTTATGATCATGGTTAATCATCCTGGAATTTGGGTGCCTAACTGAATATTTGAGAGTAATTAAATAATGAGGACTACTATATGTGAAAATCTGTTTAAGGCTAGAGTTTTGAGCAAGTGTTTGGTACAGCAGTTAAGACACTGGTTCAGGCTGATGTTTTGGCACAATGAAGTTAAGCTGCTGCTTGAGATGCGAGCATCCCATATTGGAGTAACTCTGGGAGTCCTGGCTGCTCTGCTTACAATGCAGCTTCCTGCTGACATACCTAGAAAGGCAGTGGAAGATGGCCCAGGTATTGGGCCTCTGCCACCCATGTGGGAGACCCTGATGGAGTTCCTGGCTCCTTGCTTTAGTCTGAACCTCACCTGGCTGTTGCAATCATCCAGGGAGTGAACCAGCAGGTAGAAGATTTTCTCTTTCTCTCTCTCTCTCTCTCTCTCTCCCTCTCTCCCTCTCTCCCTCTCCCTCTCCCTCTCCCTCTCCCTCTCTCTCCCTGCCTTTCAAATAAATAGGTAAATAAATATTTTAAAAAACAACAAAAAAGATGCTGCTTGGGATGCCTGTGTCTCATACCTGGAGCTGGGGTTTGAGTCCCAGCTCAACTGTGTTCTACTAATGCTCACCCTGGGAGAGTCTCTACCTCCCGCAGGGCAGATTGAGTTCTGGACTCCTTACTTTTGCCCAGCTCCAGTTGTTGTGGAGAGTAATTTAGAGAGTAAATCAACAACAGAAGATCTAAATATATGCCTTTCAAATAAATAAAAAGAAAATTTTTTTTAAATATATGAATCTATCAGCTCTGATCAACATAGTTACCCACTTAACAACATGCAACCCGATTTAATTCACAAGAAAAGCTGTATAATGCATTGTTCATGACTACCACTTTGAGATTAGTGTGGATATTAATCAAGCACTGGGAAAAGCCGACTTCTTCAGTTCTGTGGGCCTTTGACCCACTCAGAATTTCCATGGCCTCATTGCAGGTTCCATGCCGACCAACTACGAGCTCTACTATGGTTTCACAAGGTTTGCTATTGAACTTAACGAGTTAGATCCTGTGCTGAAAGATCTCCTCCCACCAACAGATGCGCGATTCCGGCCAGATCAAAGGTGAGGATGGTTTGGTATAGAAGCTGTAGATCAGATCACAGCATGAGACTTTGAAGGCCATTGAGGTTGATTTCTGCTACCATCATTTTTGTGTTGTCTTACATATTCTCTTTTCTCTCAGAAGTATTTGAGTGTTCTACCCTAGCTAAGACAGTATTCATGGGAAGTTCATAACAAAAGATTGTGTCAACACAGGGATCCCCACAGATGTTTCTTGATGTTTCTTTTTTTATTTTTTTTAATTTAATAAATGTACATTTACAAAGTGCAACTTTTGCATTGTTGTGGCTTTTTCCCCCATAACCTCCCTCCCACCCGCAGCCATCCCATCTCCCACTTCCTCTCCCATCCCACTCTTCATCAAGATTCATTTTCAATTATCTTTATATACAGATCAACTTAGTATATACTAAGCAAAGATTTCAACAGACTGCACCCACACAACCACACAAGATATAGAGTACTGTTCGACTAGTAGTTTTACCGTGAATTCTCATAGTAAAACACATTAAGGACAGAGATTCTACGTGGGGAGCAGGTGCACAGTGACTCCCATTGTTGATTTAACAATTGACACTCTTATTTATGTCAGTAATCACCTGAGGCTCTTGCCATGAGCTGTCAAGCCTATAAAAGCCTCCTGAGTTCACCAGCTCTGATCTTATTTAGTCAAGGCCATATCACAGTGGAGGTTCCTTCCTCCCTTCAGAGAAAGGTGCCTCCTTCTTTGATGGCCCGTTCTTTCTGCTGGGATCTTGTTCACCGAGATCTCTCATTGAGGTCGTTTTTGCCACAGTGTCTTGGCTTTCCATGCCTGCGAGACTCTCATGGGCCTTATAGCCAGATCCTAATTACCCAAGGGTTGATTCTGAGGCCGGAGTGCTGTTTAGGGCATTTACCATTCTATGAGTCTGCTGTGTATCCTGCTTCCCCCGCAGGATCATTCTCTCCCTTTTAATTCTATCCTTCATTATTTGCAGACACAACACAGATGTTTCTTAATGGAAAGTTTCTCTCCCTGAAAATGTACCAAAAGTCTGCAGATTCACGAACTCTCTGCCATGGGCAGCATTACTCCTCATCCAGTGTCTTTGACCTTTTTATTTCTATTATTTTATGCCATGTGATACCTTTTTTAATTTTTTACTAATATGTAATTCTTATACATTTTTATGGAATACAGTGCCATATTTCAGCATTTGTATATAGTACAAAATTATCAAATCAGGTAGCAGACATTTCCATTTCCTTATCATTTTTTTCTGATTGAAACCTCTGAGTTTCTCTAATAATTCTTCAACAACACATTGCTGGGAACTGCAGTTGTCCCACAAAGCTACAGAGCACTAGCATTTGGCATTTCGTGTTTCTGGTACCCATTCCCCAGCCTCTGTCTCTCCCTGCCCTCCCCTCCCTTCTCGGCCTCCAGTAGTCACTAAGTTGGGAGCAACTTTTTTTAACTACAGAGTAGCTTTTAAGCTGAAGAAACAGGGGCCCCCAGATGCTTTGAGTTTGCCCCACATGGACTTGATCCCCAGTGTATGAGATGGAGTGCCCTTAACACTTCTGATTCTTGATTTGCCTTATTATTATCGTTATCAGGTTCTGTACTCAAGCTGTCCCTGCCTGGGGAATTCATTTTACTTTTCCCGAGAATTCTGTATGCCATGCACATTCCACCCAAGAGCAGTTTCTTTTCCCCACATTTGATATTATGTGTCTTCTGGCACAGTCCTCAGTATTGAATGTTCTGCCACCCAAGTCTCTCACACCCCTCCCATTAGAACATGCAGTCTCACTGTTTGGCATTCAGTTTTATCAATAAATGTCTGGTACAGTTTGTACCATGGCATACCCTGTGCTTTGCTGTCAATTTGAAATATAAACATATCCAGTTCACCGGTGGCTCGGGCTTCTCCTTCCCAATTCTGCTTCAGTATTCCCTTTCTAAATTGTGTGGACTATCACTTTCCTGTTCTGAGGCCTTTTATAATTTTCTGCAATTGTTACCTTTCCTTTTTTTCATCAATTTTACTCTCTCCAGTAAAACAAGCAAGCTTTTGGCCTTTCAGTCTACTCTCAAAATAGATGGAGAACAAGCAGTTACCATCCCCCATTCTGTGGCCTCTACAAGTACTTTTTGACAATGGGGGAAAGGAGCACACTTGGGACTTGATGCTGATCTAGGCCTGGACCCTGCCATCGTCCTTAAAAGTTGTAGAGCCCTAGACACAGAGAGGCTTTCCAGGCCTAACCACTTCCCTTGCACTCCTACCATTGTGTTGTTGTATCCAGTCATTCTGTTCATGTTCACAGGAAGTATGTTAATTGATGGGCAGACAGAAGTGATGTGGTCTGGGGCAGAGGTTGGGGGACATTACCAGAGTGTTCACTGTGTTATGTTCATGGTAACTAGGATGTAATTTTATGCGAGTGACATTTTTTCTTGGAAAAGAGGATAATATATTAAAAAACCAACTGCTTTCTGTTTAGATTTTTGGAAGAAGGAAATTTAGAAGCTGCTGCAGCAGAGAAACAAAGAGTAGAGGAACTGCAGAGGTCTCGGAGACGGTACATGGAAGAAAACAACCTTGAACACAGACCAAAATTTTTTAAGTAAGTCGCTGCATTGCCATCGCGGGCTCGTGGCTTGCAGGTGGTTGCCACAGCAATGTGAAACTGCAGGTAAAAGGGAAATGGGGGATAGTTTGGTGTCCAGGGATCCTCAAGGGAAGAAAAATGAAGCTGATTTTGGTAACTTTGCTTTTGGCCATGTAAATATTGAATCAGATTTTGCATCTGTGAAAAATCAGTAGCCATGAAAAGAAATTCTTCTGTACACCCCTTTTCCTCCCATGGGCAATAAGGGAGTGAAGGTCTCACCCGGGAGGCTCCTGGTTCTTCAGCTACGACCTTCAGCAAGGTGGGAACTCCCTCCCACCCTGTCACCCGCAGGGTGGATGGGACCCTAGCACCCACAAGGTCATCCTGGCTTCATTAGGATTTCATCTTGTTTCTGTCACGCAGAGCTATTTCTGTCCAGATTTTGTCCCTCGCTGTTGTGATAGGAGGTGATTATTGCAAGATTATGTGGACATCACACAGATTAATCTGTAGTTTCCAAATCCATCTGTTAGCCTCCAGAGCCAAGACAAAACCCAGGGTAACCTGACATCCTGGAGAGCTGCCATCTCCCGCAGAAATGCAGGCGTGGTGTGTTCTGTGTGCCCCAAGAGTCCCACTCAGCAGGCTGTGAGGGCCACTGATGCGGCCTACTTTTCCCGCAGGTGACACAGAGAGCCTTGTGGTCCCAGGTCCTAGGCTCTTAGTAAACAGTGCCTGTGCATGTTTTGTTTAGGGCTCTTTGTGCCCTGCCTGAAGGTGATGTGTTCCTCCGTTGGTCTCTTCCATAACCCTACCTACTTCCATTGCAGATGTTGAAGACATGAGTTCTTTTTGTTTTTTTTTTTTATTATTATTATTTTTTTTTTTTATTTTTTTGACAGGCAGAGTGGACAGTGAGAGAGAGAGACAGAGAGAAAGGTCTTCCTTTGCCGTTGGTTCACCCTCCAATGGCCGCTGCGGCCGGCGCGCTGCGGCCGGCGCACCGTGCTGATCCGATGGCAGGAGCCAGGAGCCAGGTGCTTTTCCTGGTCTCCCATGGGGTGCAGGGCCCAAGCACCTGGGCCATCCTCCACTGCACTCCCTGGCCACAGCAGAGGGCTGGCCTGGAAGAGGGGCAACCGGGACAGAATCCGGTGCCCCAACCGGGACTAGAACCCGGTGTGCCGGCACCGCTAGGCGGAGGATTAGCCTAGTGAGCCGCGGCGCCGGCCATGAGTTCTTTTTGGTTCAGTCTTCAAACCATCAGCAGATAGGACACTCACTGGCTTACAAAAGAGCACTTACACATACGTGTCTAATTGATGTGATTTGTGGCTAACATTGGTTTCCATGTTTTCACAGGAAAGTTATTGATGCCAATCAAAGAGAAGCCTGGGTTTCTAACGACACCTACTGGGAACTCCGAAAGGACCCTGGGTTTAGTAAAGTAGACAGCCCTGTTCTTTGGTAAACTGGGAACATAGAGCTAGCCAACATATCACACTCTGAATGATTAAATAACTATGCACAATTATGTTTCTTATAGCTACACGTGGTTTCTGGGTCGACTGAAAACCTACCATTTGCTTTTCTATTTCATCTTTATAATGGACTTTCAGAAGTGCATTAGACAAGGCCCCTGACCACTTTTGGATCCTTTCTGTTTTGCTGCAACCATATTCCTTAAGAAAAATAAAACATCCACACCCTCCTCGGAGAGCAGAATAAAAGGAGCAGGATATAAAATCCAAAGTCTGAAGAGTTTGCAAAGAAAAACAAACTGTACCTGGTGCTTAACGCTGATCAGAGAGTTAAAACAACACTACAAACCACGCGCTCGGTCCGTCGTCTGGAAGCACCATCCCCCCGTCTGGTCTGTCGTAAGAGCTCGTGGGCCACAGCGGTCGGTTAGTTCAGACTTCAGGTGTGTCTGTTGATGTGACGTGCTTGTGCTGGCCTTGTCAAAAAAAGACGTGATGCTTCTCAGAGCCTGTCCCATCTGTCTGCCATTGTTCATGCCTTAAGAAATGCAAATATGTACAATAAATCATTTTTAAACTGTGTGCCCATAGATTTATGTGAAGGACAGACCTTTTGAATCACAGCATGATTCGCTTTCTCAGTCGGAACATGTATGGGTCTAGCTGAAATGACTTTCTGAAAGTAAGCGACACAGGCTTGACGTCAGTGAGCTGGTGTCCTGTCATTGACATGAAAGGCAAGAAAGAAAAGGTGTGCAAAACAGATCTCTGTATTCATGTTGTTTAAGTTCTGTCCTGCGTCCCGATAATAAACCGTCCCTCTTCCACCTCATCTCACAGTGTGCCCTGTTATTTGGCAAAATCGTATTTGAATTGGACATTTGTCATCAGTGTTACAACTGTGGAAGCAAACAACAGAAAGTATAGGAATTCCTGTGTGGGCTTAATAGCTGTTTTTGAATGAAGTACAATGTAACATCATCTCTCACCCTGCCCTCCCCATTAACACAATGTGAATTCCTCTGAAGAACAAAGACAAGAATACCAGTAGCTTATTTGCATTATTTAAATGAGTTCTATGCAAGATCATAGTTCATATTTCTATCAAGTGATTCTGTGTGCTACAAGCATTCCCCCTGCTATGGGAAGGTAATAGAATTTAAGCTAAGGAGTTTAGCCGTCTCAAAAGGGAAAGGGGTTCTGCCTAATTCAGTACTTGTTTCTCCTCCACTAATCTACAGAGGCTTTTGTAGGAGTTTTGCATCAGTGTTTCTAAGTTTCTGCACATAGATGGCTATCTAGATGCCTACATGTTTTCAAAAACGTCTTTAGAGATTTTCCTGGAGAATTATGAAACTACATGTATCTCCATTGTCGGTTAGGTTTTTGTTGGTAGGCCCTTACTGTCAGAGTTGAAGTGGTATTTTAAACTCTGGTAACAAGGTTGCTGACATTTTCTCTTGGTACGAGGTGTTGGCTTGAGTGTTATTTCTGCTCAGCAAAGCACTCCTACTAATGGCTAATACACCATCAACTAATTCCTGGCAGTGGCTTATCCCCCATCAACTAATTCCTGGGGAGGAAAGCGTAATGGGAACCGCTCTAAGGTTTCCAGCAGATGGAGCGATGGCTTAGTGATCCTGCACCTCGGCCCTTTCACCTGAGTCTGTCCATGATGTGTGCAATTTGCATTAGTTTCCAACAGATTTAGTTCATCCTCAAGTGAACATCCTAATCCCTTGCCAGGACGAAGCAGTGCACTTAAGCAGCCTTTCCATGCTGCTTGGTTCCTCTCATTCCCGTTTTAGATCTGTAGGTGGCTTACCCCATGGCAGTCAAATCCTCTCTCTGGTTATTGATTCTTTTTCTGTTCATTCATCTTGACATCCTTTTATCTATATTCTGAGATACATGGCTTTAATTTTAATTAGAACTTAATTAGAATCCTATTGAGTTCCTTAAAGAATTCTGTTCCACAACTGGTAGTTTATTAACATACTATTCAAAGAGGTTCTGCTCTGTCTGTAGGAGCACTGCTTGGAAGAGACTCAAAATAGCCTACATACAAGAATCCTGCAAAGTAAAGGTAATACAAGTAGAGCAGTTAGAAGCTGGGGTCTTGGTGACTAGCAGATCTGTCGGGCAGGCAGGTGGAAGAGCACCCAGCACCTGCCAGGAAAGCAGCCACTGTATGATTTGGGTTAAAACTGAGATGAAGGAAAAATAGTAGAGTGAACCTTTACTAGAGAGTAAGGTCCAGCTGCCAGTCAAGTGGGTGAATGCTGATCAGAGCAAACTTGAAACTGTGATTAGGGTTTCAACAGGAGAATGAGGAAAACTGTCAATTAAAAATCACCACATTTTATAATCTTTAGAATCTCTTTGGGATTCAGATTTCCTCGTTGTTCTGATTCAAGTGATCAGTTCAGTTTCAGATAATACCCCAGTAGTACCCGATTCACTCACCCACCTGTCCCCCACCCCCTGTCAAATCCTTGGCCTCTTCTCCCATCCTTTCTTCTGTTTATTGACATGATGGTTATAGAATTATGAGACTGATCCTGTTGAGATTTTTGTCAGCATACTGTTTTGGGCTTTTGAGACAAACAGGAAAAGAATAGAGTATTGGATCATTCTCTTGATAAAACCTTAGAATTTTATGTAAACCTTTGTGTTTCCAGGACACTTTTCTTGTCTTTCCCTAAAATGACCTAGGGTAGAGGAGGACTTAACATGTCTGTCTCCCTCTCCTGGGATTTCTTTATGAGCCGCTACATCTCATCTATAGTGGCCACTACAGAAGGCAGCAGTAAGTGGCAGTGACCCTGTGGACTTGGACTTGGCTAAAGAGATTGATGGCACACACCAGCACTTGTAGAAGCCGACCAGAAATGTTTTGATTTCATTTGCTTCCACCCAGGGTGCAAATGTACTCTGATTTTGCCATTGTCTTATTGTTTTTTAATGAACTCATTATTATATTTCATGGTATCTTTAAATACCAGTAATTTCCAGGCAATTGTAAACATGAACCTCATTTAAGATCACTTTTTAATGGGTTAGTTATATATGGGGGGGAAAAAACCAAATGCAATTTTCTGGGTAAAAACTGCTAAGGAATTTTCCATCCAATGGATGCCAGGTTGTCAGTGGTCCCAACCTTTGGCTTCTCTTGCTTATTCCGACCCCATGCCTTTGCGCAACTGCATCCCTCATTAGAGTCTGCCCCAGGGAGCAAGGGGGCAGGGAGGAACAGCAGATTAAACTGTTGTGCTTAGTCCTGTTTACAGCTGTGGCTGGAAAAGAGTTTATCATCGTAACCTAAAGGACATTTTGTTATTTTGCTTGTGGATTTTAATTATCCATTTTGTCTGAGCTCGTTTCGCTGTCATCCTAGATAATAAATGTTTGTGGGAGCAGAGCTCCTCACACACCAGGGGGTATAAGAAATGTTTGCACTTGACTTGGTATATTCTGAATGTGGCACAGTAAATAATGTTCGTGTATAAAACATTAGTTTATTTCTATGGGAGCCATTATGTTCAGGATATATAAAATGTATCTAATTAAACAATTATGAATCCATTCTGTGCTCTAGAAATGTTCTTTTGGGGGAGAGATGAAGAAAAAAGTGTCAGTGGAGCTAAGAATTATAGTGTTTATTTTTCCAAGAATTCCCAGAGATTTAGAAATACTACTTGCCAAATTAGGATGAGATCCTCTGAGTCCTAATGGAGTATATTTTGCAAAATAGATACATTTTTTAACTGCATTGCCAGGTTCCCTGTTAAACTGAAGCAGGTTTGGTTGAATACACATGATAACAAGTACAAAATTGTTACTGAATTCTAAGACCTTTATGCAGCTTTCACTTTTAGAAAAATAGTGGCAAATTGTTTAAGGAATACTTAGCTTTATTCTTTTTGAAATGAGATAAAGAAGAATGACTTCTTTCCAAACTGCTCTGATGAACCCCCATGCCCAACATCTTAAGCAAATGAAGCTTCGTGATCAAGGGAACTTACAGGTGACTCAGGTGGAAAAGCACTGACCTCCATACGTGTCCTTTTGTTTTGCAGAACACTGGACTTGACTGATTTGCTCCAACCTTCTGGTTCTAACATAGCGAAGCCACAGGGATTCCCATGTTTGCTCTTTTGCACTGTCTGTTTCTAAAATATACAATTATTTGTGCCCTATTTCAGTCATTCAGTATAGGAAACTACTTAGCCTCCTGTTAAACACTGTTACTTTTTCATGGGCTAAAAACTAGCCTGTAAATATATTTCCTTGGTTACTTTGGTACCCCCAAATAAATAGGGAAAAACATAAAAGAAAAATGTTCTTACTTTCTGCAAATTTTGTTTCTAGCCAGGCCTTCCACAGGGCAATTGTAGAGGGAGGAACATTACATTAGTATAAAACAGGTTATAATCCTATTTGAGTTCTACCTGTATCTTCTAATTCTTTTAGTTAATAGAGTAAGCAAGTGAAATTTTAGTACTGTTAAAGAGCGAATAATGCTAAAACTGTTACTTTTTCTGTCTTAGGCACCCACTCCCTCTTACCTAGTCTCATCTAGTTAGTTCTTTAGGAATTCAAGTGGTTGCTAGGGTTTTTTAAAAGCTTTATCAAGGCATAAATGACATATACTACAAACATTTGAGCTGTATAACTGGACACATTTGGACATATGTATACATCCTTGGCATCTTGACAATCATTAAGTGAATATGATCTATCACCTCCCAAAATTCCCCCTGCCCTTTTATAATCCTTCCCCATCCTCCACCCTGAGGCAATCACCTTTTTTATTTTATTTTTAAAAGTATGCATATTTTCTTATATTTATCACCAATGTGATTTTTCTAGAAGTCTGTTTATACAGATAGATGTATACCTACAAACTCCTCACTTGCCATTACTCCTAAATCCATCAGGTACTCACATTTCAAGAGAAGGAGGATCCCCTTCAGTTCTATTTTTAGTAGCCCAGTTAAAGCTTTAGACTTGAAATGCTTAGAACATAATAAACTTTTTCACATTGAAATGGCCGTGTAAACTAATGGGTTAATTTCCATATTTGGGGAATCCAAAATAAAGCCAACACTGAACTGGCTGGCAGCAGGGAGGAAACCCTAGGAAGCATTCTTCCCTCTGCTGTGTAATTAGTCACTGACAAGACTGACAAGCCCAGAGTGACTGCTCCTGAAATGGAATTTCAATGCCTATGATCGGGCAAAGGGCCTATGTGGTGGGATTTTCCTCTTGAGCCTCACTTTTACGAGCAAACATTTGAAACTTCCAGTGCTCCAGAACTGTTTCTCTACCAAGTGGCTAACTCAGCCTAACTTTGAAAAAGCAATGGGAAGGAGACCTGTGGAGTCCAGTGAACTCACTGTCTGCTGTGCAAGTCGAAAGCTTATTCTTTAAATCCTGAGCCCCAGACCTTATTACTTGAAAGTAGCAAATGTTCCAGAGAGGATCAAATACAGCTGACTGATTTTAAAGGCAAAGTAGAGAAAGGGCAAGAGTGAATAAAAGGGAACTGGGAAGGAAGTGTGGGTTCTCTGAGGAGTGCAGGCACTGAGCTCCCTGTGCCTGGATGGATCCCAGGGAAGGCACGGAACCATCCTGGATGTCTAAGGGTAGGATCCTGGGTAGGGAGCTGAAATGAGAGTGTACCAACTAACCACTCCCTCAATTGTCCCTGCCCCAACCTCAGCCCTTGCTGTTTTGTTTTCCTTAATGTGACACTTGAGAGTCAGTAAGAAAGTCCAGTTCAGGAACCAAAAGTAGAGCTCAGTGACCTATGCACCCTTTTCCTCTTGG